AACAAGTATGTCTAACTGCCCGTGAAGATCCGGGTTACAATTGGTCTTCAGCAACCAAGCTTGTTATAAGAGGCGACTAACGGGTTCGGGTGTTCAAGCACGCTGACTTGGTTGATGCATGTCATCGTATCCCAATTGCGTAGATGGAGACTCGTGGTGTCAATCAATGGACTGTCTGGTCCACATTCGATTATTTACATACCACTTTCAAATAGCTGGGATATGGCTGGAAGAGAACGGCATTAAACAACAAAGAAACAAACAATACTTCTGCCTGTTGGGTCGACCTGTTAACAAACCAGACAATCAAGTGATCGATGAACCAGAAATCCAGTAACCACATATTTAGTGACAACCAAAGATGAGTTTGATCATTAACTTTTAAAAAAAGGATATGATTTTTCAAAAGATTTTTTATCGAAACATATGGTAAGCGGTGATAACTTCTTCTATGTGTTAATATCAATTTATATAAGATAGCTACGCGATAAATGGCAAAGAACAATGAAGAACGAAGCGTGGTTTATTTCACGATAAAGCATTGTTCTAACATAACGTCATTTCTGGAGGATAGAATATGCGGGAAATACCAACCTGTGCATTAACTGGACCTGGCCGACATTGCTGAAGTCTTATTCTTTTGGGGGTGTCCTCATTATTTAACCACGGGTAAATATCTTTAAAGCTTGCACATCTTATCATCAATCCTACATAATGATGATATCTCATGTAAGAAATAAACGACTCATGGTCTTTGTTTATAATACAATAATTACATTTTCCTTGGGTTCATTGAAAATTCCTGCATTCTGATAAGCTGAATTGGTCACTAGTCTCTCCTCTTTCCTTGATTGACAGGTCCAATGAACTTTGTTTTGATTCTACTCTCCGTTGATTGGCTATTGACTTTGTAGGCATATGTGCATAAATTAAACAATCACCTGATTCATGTCACGCCACAGTGTGTATTCCTACACCTGGAATCTCGTCATTTTTGACTGCTTTGATATAAACAACTGTTTTGGTTAAACTATTGTATGTTTTCGTTGTCGAGTTTAATTATAAGCATTGACTGTGTAATATTTTCGGTTCATTTAGGTATGAATCGAAAAACCGATGTGCAAACTTTTGTAAGAATCCGCTAAGAGAATAAACCAAATGTCATGAACACATGGAAACAGGTGAAAAGCAAAACGAAGGTCATACTAGGTGGTTACAGGTTGTCTCAAGGAAATGGTGTACAGTACTAAATTAAACCTCTTTTATTTCTCATAGAATAGTGTGATGGCTTCCGACAAAGCTCTCAATACTACACTGGAAATATGTGTTTATAATGTAAACACAAACAAGACATATTTAGATCTAATATGGTTAAATCATGAACGGAATATACATTTGGTGTGTTCTTTCTAAACGTATTTTGGTCTAAACACATGAAATGAGCTATGGTCTCACAGCGTCTTGCCATGGCCCAGTCGTCTAAGGCGCCGCGATTCGCTGTGCAGAGTTGCGTCCCTTGGGCACGCCAGAAACCTATTATTGTGGGTTCGAATCCCGGTTCACCCCGATTATGTTTCTAGGTTTGTAAGCACCATACCCGTGCTCGTCGGTTTCACCGAAGTGGTAAACGTCTGAGACCTGCATCACTTCGGGCTTTCCTGCCACATTAAGCTGACACGCCGTGATATAACTGGATCACTGTTAAAAGCGGCGTTAAACCCAACTCACTCACTCACTCCTGTTGCTGGTGACAGTGCCTCAAGTAACAAAAAGGAACGACCCATCTCAGTTTCACTATTAAGAATATTTAATTATTACCGAAGCATACAATTACTCAATATTTACACAATTGAAAAACATAATCTGGCAAACTAACATATATGTGACAAAGCGAAAGTCTATTTCATCCCATGAACTCATCAAGCAATAATCACTTATCCTGTTTAATTGGCTTCATGTCCCATTGGCTTCCAGCTATGTGTTCTCTGTCCATCGTGTTGTGACGGTATTATCCTTCTGTTGGCAACCCTTACACAGACAGACAGACAGACAGACAGACAATAGTTTATTAACGTCTCACTCCTGTACATACATAAAACAGCTTTATACAACCTGACATAGATAAAATGTACAGAACCATTCAATAGAATTATGAGAGACGAATTATCACAGAATTTATACATAAATAATATAAAGATGATATAGTAAAAAGTTATCCATATAAAAGATGTTTTCTACGATTAAGAATTAAAAAGCAGACTTTGGCGAGTATAAAACACACACTGGAGTCACTGAAAATAAAACAAAGTTTGTCGATATCATGTTATCCAAATCATGTATGCTATTGTTGTTACTGTTAATCCTCCACCTACTATATATATTCTGTACAATGTCCCTCATTCGTATATAAACAGAGCAGCCAAGGATAGAAATGAAATCATATCAATATAAGAAAATAGAAATCATATCAATACAAAAACAGAAATTATGTGAACACCAAACTCACAATAGATATGCGTACCCTACTCACACACAGGAGTCCCAAAGAGGGACAGGTCAGCCGAAATTGCCTAGGCAGAAGGCGACCTCTTAAACACTTAATGCAACAACAACAACAACCCTCATTCAGTATCAAAGAGGGACAGGTCAGCCGAAATTGCTTAGGAAGAAGAAATGAAGAAATGTTTATTTAAGTGTCACATATTGTACATAACACACATTATAAACAAAAGCAAGTTGCCATTAAAAGTACAATATCCAGCCTCTAGGGCTTATGAGACACTCTAAAAGCATTTAAAACATATAACATTATTAAATATAAAACACAAAATAAAAATATTATATACAATGTTAAGACTAGAAGAGTATAATGTGCTTGCTAAAAGCGGCTATAAAATCACTTCCCGCATCAAATAAGATAATTGCTGAATGCTATTAAAATAATAAAAGGCAGAAGGCGACCTCTTAAACACTAAATGCAACAACAACAACCTCATTCAGTCTTGCTTGACAACGGTATAAGGATCTATACCGAAACGTCGCTTTTTACAGTTTTAAAGAAGTTGTTATCCGTAAAATTGTGTCTACCTTGTCAAAGCGAAAGAGGAGAATACTTAGCGTGATGCAGAAACTCCTCCAATCGGACACAATCCTCATCCTGGTCACAAACGTATTCCAATCACAGTTCGATTATCTCACACATGACCGACGTGGCCATACATCACAAGTTTCCAATGGTAGGAATGTTACAGACCGACAGGGTCAATACAGAGATATAGTGACTGTGAGGCGTCCGTCCTGGACCCGTCCCAGCTCTACAAAACAAAACCCTCTCCTCACTCTAACGCCTGGGCGTAGGTCTACCCAACCTAAACACAACATCCCCATTAATCTAAACATGTTCAGAATTTAAACACGTTAAAACATGTTTAGAATTTAAACATGTTTCAATAAAGTGCGTATCAGCTGGCAATTAGTCAAATATGGATAAGAAGTATGATATATAGTGAAATTAGATGTGCAAATCAGATTCACAGGCACTTGCATAACACACATACCACCAGGACTCACAACGAACATGGTACAATATCAACATAAATATGTACAGCTTAGCTAATGGTGCTGAGGAAAATTGACGCTTGGGGCGACAACAGTCTCCGTGGCACAAGGGGTAGTGTGAAGGACTACAAACGGAGAGGTTGAAGGTTCGTATCCCACTGAGGTTGACAAATCTTTGTGTTCGTAAATGTGTTGTTACTGTGTGGCATACAGGAAGCTGACAATGAAACAATATCCGTTTACTAGGATAGACCCTTAACTCTCTTTGGTTACCCCCCAAAAAAAAAAAATCAAAAAAAAATATTAAAAAAAATAATCCAGGTTCGTATCCTACGAGGTTTAACAGTAGTACCAGTAGTACTTATCCCAAACAGGAAGGTGACATTTAAAATATATCTGATTACTACGATATGCCCTTAACTCTCTTTGGTTACCACCCCCCAAATTAAGCCATTTATGCTGTTAATATAGCTCCTATCCACCCTCACACCCCAAACACTCACTTCCGTATCCCCATTAAACGCAAATTAAAACATAGAAAGAGCCCCTTTTTTAAATTACCTACGATGAATTTCAAGGCGCATGTACACATTGAGACCCTAAACACGTTGAGCTGTTAAACACAATCCTAAACATAAGACCTAAACATGTCAAAATTATGGGAGCGGGAACGTGTTTACGTTTGCGTTTAGGATCTAAACACGTGTTTACAGTGTATTTTTAATGTTATATACATGCATCTGATAACGTATAAATCATCAACAGATTGTGTTAGTAAATGGCTTTATATGTTGAGAGATATTCAAAGTTATTTAAGAAATACAGATTTGTCAAACAATATGAGTGAGCGAGTGAGAATGATTTTACGCATAATTCACGGCGAGGGACACCAGAAATGGGCTTCAAGTGGTGTATTCTTCAGTGCTGTCGGGAGACAGGTGCTTGCTCGTGTTTTAATGCTTTCGGCACACTCAATTCTTTCCATGGATTTAAGAACAAGGTAATGTGTGTCTCACGCTCCTGTCTCGCAATTGGGGCAAACTGTGGGTGATCCTACATGGTGCAATCGAAGCATGGGGTCTATGGTGTTCTTTTAATCACACAAACACACGCGCTTGCTTCCTACACATGGCGAAGCTTTTCCATGCACACAGACACAGACACGCTCAGAGACACACTTGCTTCCTACACAAGGCGAGGCTTTCCCATGCACAGAGAGACACACACAGAGACACACACAGAGACACACACACACACACACACACACACACACACACACACACACACAGACACACACACACACACACACACACACAAAAACCCCAAACACACACACACACACACACACACACACACACACACACACACACACACACACACACACACACACACACACACACACACACACACACACACACACACACTAACACACACACTAACACTAACACTAACACACACTAACACTAACACTAACACACACTAACACTAACACACACTAACACACACTAACACTAACACACACTAACACTAACACTAACACAAACACACCTACACAGAGTGTGTCACCATGTTTAGATGTAGATATATATAGATTACACATTTCCATCCACAGCTGTAACGCCATCTGGAAAGAAAGGAGTGTTGATATAAGTCTTGCATAGTGGAAAACATGGAAACACTGTTATAGGGCAATAATAATATTAGTCAAAACCCAGCCTGTACAAGACGCTTAATGGGAACCCCCTAATACCAAAACAATACAGTAAACATTTAGTAAACATAAGTACCAACCTGTCGGATAATGAACAACGCGTATGTAGGTCTCGGAGTTTGTTCCTGAGGAAATGCCCGAGTCTGCAGGTACACTATTATATTGGTCATCAGGCTCTGAAATCATAATTAGACATGTAAAAAAATAAAATAAAGAATTATATTTAGTAGCATGCAGCGTGCATACATTGTGATGAGCAATCCAGACAAACAATAATTTTATATTGCTGGAATGTTGCTAAAAGTGGTGTAAAACCATACTCACTCACTCACTCACTCACTCACTCACTCACTGATAACGCTGTAAGACTATGATTCGAAAAGTCGCTGAATGCAATAAACCGGAAGTTGTTTTCCAGAAAGTTGTGTTTTCTTATTTACTCACCAACTTCTTGTATGCCAATCAAACAGTCAATATCTATATGAACACGAGGGTTGCATGCCGCCTATTTTCTGATAAATTGATTTCCCCTGTTATAAGATGACGTGCAGCGCAAACATCATGGATGAAGCAATGATAATACGTACGTGAAACGGTGTAGATGGATGAGTAAAGGGAATCTGTCAAATGATTTTCACCGGAAGTTGATCTTGTGCTTCTCTTTTCTGAAAAGCACGAACAATTTTAGTAAAGCATGTCTATTATAAGACAAGACATACTGATAAATACTCAGCAATATCCCAGCTATATAGCGGAGGTTTGTAAATAATCAAGTCTGGACCAGACAATCCATTGCTTGATATCACGAGCGCCGATCTACACAGGCTGTTTGTACTAGTCCGGACTGATGCCGATTTATAGTGCTAGCCCACTGAGATACCATGCCGCAGTTTGACATGAATGCCCCACTCAGACACAGTATACTGACTCCGACCCGATCAGTCCTTGTTTTAGCCTTCTTTTGGTATGACGCGGCCGGGGATCGAACCCCGGACCTTCCGCTTCACCACAATAAGATAGATTAGAGAACAGGGAGCAGTTATCTTGCTGTTTTATCGTTCGAAAAATAAGTACCGTATCCGACGTAATAAGCGCCCAGGGCGCCCTCAAAAGTTAGAAATAGGGGGCTCTTATTAGAATAGTATTTTGGTGAAAGAAAAACAGAGTTGAAAGATATATTTAGTGGTTTATGCTGACAGCCTGAAATGTTTATATACGACAGATATATTTTTCCAGAATTTAATTGCCCATAATTGAGGGTGCATATGAATGCGTATTACACACGAATAAATAAGTCTTGTGTACATTGATCAGTCGGAAGGGGTGCTAATTGGGATTGTTCACTACCCAATATATTAACAAATATCGCCGTGGGCGCTTATTAGAGCGGGGCGCTTATTACGTCGAATACAGATACGGAATAACAAATCACGGTTTAAAGTTATCCATATCCAGTATATTGCGTTCCAGAAAGATCGCCCGGAACCAGGGGTTTCCGGACGTAAAAGGTTTCACTGTACCTCGCATACAGGACATATGAATCATACAGATTGGTGCCCTTACTTACTGATTATGATGACAACCAAAAGGACAATAGCTACAACAGCAACAGCAGCAACGACAACCGGTATAACAGTATATGTAGTCATTGACGTGTCGTTCGTGGGCGTTTCTTTCGTTGGCGTTTCTGTCGTGGGCTTGTATGAAGAACTGACTTGTACTGAAACGCGTTTATACCACCAGATTGAATACATCAAGGCATGTGTTGTCGTTGTTAACCTTAAATTAAGGTTATGATATTCTGGTAAGTCCGAATATGATGTCTTGTTCTTGGAGGGAAATGAGCATTTAGAAAAAATACAAAACACAGACATCTGAAATCAAATTCGAAGAATAAGTTAAAGGGGTGTGACCATAATGGCATTGCTCTGCATTTTCTATAGAATTTCATCATGTTTAATGTCCTCTAAATCGTTATGTATGGCAAGAATGATAGTTATTTTACTTCTAATCCAGACTTACTACATATGCCTTTGTAACTAGCCGAAAAACATATATCACTATTTTTTAATATCAAATTAGAATAATAATATTGTATATTCAATCAACATTCCCAACGCAATATGTTCACATTACAGAGACAAATATAAAGCCTTTCTATTTTCAATTGAAATTAAATAACCTTAAAGTAAACGTGCACAACTTACACAGAGGCGCGTCTGGTTGGACGACATATTACCTGTAGTGGTACCTCTTGGTGATGGAAGAGACACAGAACAGAAACTGTCGAGGGTTTGTTCCAGGTCGAACCCTAAACACAGCTGACTTGTGGAGACCGATACACCTGTTTCGTACACCAAGCTCATCAACGCAAAGGGTGAGTCTGCTTCAACGACGTACTGTCCATTGGGCTTAGCCACAGTGGTGATGGCAAAGTTTCCAATTCTTTCCCAATGAGGTTTCTCCAATGAAAGGAGGTTCTTGTCTACAATTAATCCAGTTTTGTCAGCATAGCAGGCAATGATTGTCAGGTATTGTGTTACTTCGTTGGCATGTGGACTTGGAACAGGATACAGCTTCTTATATCGCTCAACCGGAGGTACGAATGTCAAAGACGTCGGGTTATTACCTGTTTTTCCTCGACACATTGTGGTGACAAGAACAGGTTTGCTGGACAGAAGATAGAGACTCTGTTTAACTTCTAATGAGGCCTGATCGGTCTCTCCTAGGGTGATATTTTCAGCCTCTGTTGATAAATGAAGCACAGTGGCTTCATAGGCAGCGATGAATTTAGCTTCTTGGTAAACACAAAAGGGTATTTTGGGAACCACATATATTTGACCTAACAGTGACACGGGGGGAAGTTGCTCAAACGTTGGGTCTCTCATATTTTTGAAAAGTGCGTCGAAAGGAAACCGAGCTCTGAAGTTCCCAGAAAACACTGCTACAGTCTTGGAGCTGCGGACTACGGTTCCAGTAATATCTGAATCTGCCTCAAAGGACAAGGACTGGTACTGGTTTAAGGTAAACTGAATCATCTGCCCCTTGCTGTAAGTATTATCAAGAACTGTGACAGGTTTAGAGGACTCCAATGTGATGGTCACATCAGTGTCGTGCTCAGATGCGGTAATTACCATTTGAGCACTTCCTTCATCTCCTGGTGTATATGTTGAGATGATGTAATGTGTTCCTAGGGCAGAGATTGGCAGAGCCAGATATGCATAGTATTCTGCCCAATGGGCGGAGCACATGACCGTGGCTTCAAAAGGTCCAATAACGACATCATCATTCGTGGTAAGAGTCAGTATGAGTGCTTTATTTTCTTTGCCTCCGACCAGATAAGATTGATTTCCAGTTATTCTGAATACGCCTTGTTTGTTGGGGTAAAGGGTGGTGTTAAAACCAGGCATCCGAACCACAGCATCGACACTTTTTGATGCAAAGTATTTGACATGGAACTCATGCTCCACACTCATCGGCAGCATCATCAGATACTTCAGCTCAAGGCACTGAACTGCACCTGCAAGAAACTATATTATATTACCACTATATCAGTCAGACATTGTTGAATTGCCCGTGGTTAAAATAGGGACCCAAGATGGTGAGTGAGTGAGTGAGTGAGGGAGGGGGGGGGGGGAAGGGAGGGTGAGGGGGGGGGGGGGGAGAGGGGGAGGGGGGAAGGAGAGGGGGAGGGGGAGGGAGGGAGAGGTTAATTTTCTGAAATCATTCAATTTTGATTTACAGATTGTTAAGCAAAATAATTTCGCCTTATCAAATCGCGACCTTCAAAGGTCAGAGAATATATCTTAACGCATAAAAGTGACCATATCGTTGGATATCTAAAGCGGTTCGAAATATACACAAGGATCCATACAACTATTGTAAAGAAAACATAAACGAGTAACAGCCCTGTTCCTTGACAGAAAAATACATCCAGAAGCCCCTCTCTAAACTGTTAGTTTATTTCGCTTGTAGGAATTGCATCGCCGAAGTAGTTTATTAAACGTAGTGCCTGTTCGGTGACCACATTTACATATTTACCAGATCGTAATACCAATCTTACCAGATTGTTTTATCGCATTGATAACACTATCCTTTTTGTGCTAAAAATATGTATGTGTTGAACTGTGCATGGTGTGATGAATAGTCACATTACACTGATCAGTAGACCTTCTTTGAGAGGCATTTAGAAGATGGAGTACTAAATAAGGATAAGATATATGGATGAACAACTTCTTATTACAATTAGAAGCCACGTTTCGGTGTAGGTTATAACACCGTTATCAAGCAAGCGAGTGAGTGAGTGAGTGGGTATGGTTTTACGCAATATTTTAGCAATGTCACGGCGTGGGACACCAGAAATGGGTTTCACACATTGTACCCATGTGGTGAATAAAACACGAGCCTCCTGCTTGATGAGTGAACGCTACAAGTTTGATGTAGTTGAAACAGTTGAATGGATAGGGTGTAGTTGCAGAGGAGAGGAGGAGTGTCATTGTCACAGCAATGTTGACACAGTACACAGTTTTATTGCAACTGGGGAAGGTAATGTTTACTTTACTGAGAGTCTATGGACTTTATGTTATTAAAACATTATGTTGCTTCTTTTGTACTTGTACCACCTTTTGAATGACACATATAGGAAGATAATGACATTCTTATGGTGAGAGGTTCGGGTGAACAGTTGGGAGATGCGTTTATCATCTTTAGCCTCTGACATGAGGTCATCCAGTCCAATCACATTATTATTCCGAGCATCCAGATAGTTATCCTCATGCAGGTTGTAAGGAATTCCCTTCACAAACGTCACATAGGGTAACTGTTGACTGATCATCTGATACAGAGGCTACCACTCCGTATAACACCAGATAATGTTATTGGGTACTGGTTTGATGCGATTCTGTAGTTAAATGTTGAACACAAACATAGTCTTGCCACTTCCGCTTAGACCCACCACCATGGCATTGGATGGAATGGTAAACTTGAACTGTTCTGCATCCTTAGGTGTTGTTGTTGTTGTTGGTGGTGGTGGTGGAGGAATAAATTGTGGTGGTGGTGGTGGAGAAAACTGTGGTGGTGATGGTGGAGTAAATTGTGGTGGTGGTGGTGGAGTAAATTGTGGTGGTGGTGGTGGAGTAAATTGTGGTGGTGGTGGTGGAGTAAATTGTGGTGGTGGTGGAGTAAATTGTGGTGGTGGTGGTGGTGGAGTAAATTGTGGTGGTGGTGGTGGAGTAAATTGTGGTGGTGGTGGTGGTGGAGTAAATTGTGGTGGTGGTGGTGGAGTAAATTGTGGTGGTGGTGGTGGTAGTGAATGCTTATTCCTTCAATGTCTCTTCATAGCATCTTTCCTAGAAAACGGTTTCTCACAATCAGGACACGAAGTGGACGCCAAAGCGAGTGGAGAGTAAATGAACATTTTTCTCAAGAGGAATATTCTTATATACTCAGAAGATCAGTCTCTGGGATCCAACTGTTAAACCTTTTCGGATAGCCCGTCCATTTCACAAACAGCTCTTTTACACCAGCTCGCTTCCTTGTCTTCAAAACCTTCTCCACTCTCCACTCAGTGTCTGCAGGCGTGTCTACTCTCTATAGTTCATTTGCATAGAAACTGCCTTGAACCGGATCTTCTGCCATATCTTTCAACTGATAGATGGCTATACCATCTCTATAGTATCGCCTCCTAATAATAAAGATTTCCTCAGTCCATTTTTCTTGATAGTCTCTTTGAAATGTATGTCTCAAATGAGACACTCTCACTTGATCACCCACTTTAAACTTGAAGGGTTTCTTCATTGACTTCTGTGTGATTTCAACTTTCGATTTTACTGGTCTCGTCAAAGTATCAATATATTGTTCTTTCCATACCAGAGCTTCATTAGTTTGATTAATATCTGTGGGTGATAGTTCATTCAATGATCTGTGAGGTCTGTGGTTATTATCCCGGACGAGGTCTTGTAAGATATCCAAATAATGATACGTTTGTTTGAACGTGAAATATCTCTACATTGTTGTCTTGAGGGCCCGTATCGCTCTCTCAGCATAAGAATCCTTTGTTTCATACTGTGTGACTTAGTAACTGATGCCCTTGTTTCTTGAAAAAGACCTCAGCTTCTTATTATCAAATTCTCGCCCATTGTCTGATCGTAAAATTTGTGGCAAAGTAGCATGGGAAAAAATCTTCTTCATGGCCTTAATGACAGCATCTGGTGTTGTATTTTTTAGGGGTTCCACTCACAGAAACCGTGTAAATACATTAATTCCTATGAGGAAGTATTTCACACCGTCATTGTCCGAGGCTATATTAGATACATCAGCTAAGTCGATATCCCATCGAGCATTGAGGCCTGAAGCCACCACTCTGTTCCGCTTGAACTTGTATCTTAAAGGTCGCTGAAGCGAATAGGCGTCTTGAGAAGCTGAGAGATTTACCTTCCCTTTTCACAATGTCATATAACTTAAAGGAAGCTGGATCTTTGGTATTAAAATAAATACTAGACAAATATGCTTTCCATCCGTCAGCAGGCATGGTTACATGAGAAATGAAGCCTTAACAATGTAAATAGAGTTTTAGACATCATGGGGAACGCAAGGAAGTATAAGTCCTGAAAAGATTGTACTCACTGAAAGTGATTTTTGTTTGTTTTTGTATTTTACTTAGTTTTGTTGTTTTTTTGTTTTGTGTTTGCTTGGTGTTTTTTTGTCGGGTTGTTTGATTTTTTAAGATAATTGTGGGGTGGATTGGAGGGTCAGCTATGGAATTCAAAAGAAGTATAAATAACCCGTCCCTAACCAGTAATAATTTGTTTAACACGGGTAGCTTACCTGCCAGCATAAGAAGTAGAGCAGTTGTGGAGACGTTCATCTTGAGTGTTGTTTGCAGAGAAGCTATCACACTGTAATGTTATTGGCATACATAAAGTATTGGGTAGTGTATCCACACACACACACACACACACACACACACACACACACACACACACACACACACACACACACACACACACACACACACACACACACACACACACACACACACACACACGCAAAAAAAAGAAAAAAAGATCTGTATCCCCCAACACACAAAATACATTGCACATATATTCCTGTTCCCTAACATGCATGGTTTGAGATGACAAGTATATGGATTGTGTTCGTTACTGCTAGTTGAACATCACTGGGTCGACAGCCAACATATTAACAGATAACAAGTCATGCCATAACAGATTAACTTTTGTTATATGAAAGAATCGGAGGGTCCTTAACTTCTTTCGAGTAGTAAATATTACAAATGGTGTTAGCAATAGCCTACCTTTATCACTTTCCTTCAAAGGTCTTTATTCGTCTGGGAAGGCGTTTGTTGTGATATGGATACAGAACGAAGGTCTACATCTCCCTAGTAGAAGGTGAAGAGAGCAGGAAGCTACAACACGTGTTACCGACAAACCAAGTGATTATACAAGTCGGTATTAAGTGGGCGAACAGGACGCGTGAACACTGTTTGAATAGAAGTGAATCCTTTCAAGCAGAACACAGCCTCATTGGTGAAGCCACACTGTCTGTTGATGTGCAATATATATATATAGAATGTACAATGTTCATTATACAGGGGGGCACGGGTGGCCAAGTCGTCTAAGGCGCCGCTATTCGCTGTGCAGAGTTGCGTCCCTTGGGCACGCCAGAAACCTATGATTGTGGGTTCGAATCCCGGTTCACCCCGATTATGTTTCTAGGTTTGTCAGCACCATACCCGTGCTCGTGGGTTTCACCGAAGTGGTAAACGTCTGAGACCTGCATCACTTCGGGCTTTCCTCCCACATTAAGCTGTCACGTCGTGATATAACTGGAATACTGTTAAAAGCGGCGTTAAACCCAACTCACTCACTCACTCATTATACAGCCTTGCTTGACAACGGTGTAAGGATCTATACCGAAACGTCGCCATTACGGTAAAATAAAGAAGTTGTTATCCATAAAATGTGTCATCCGTCAACAGAAATGTTTAAGAAACAATCCAGAAAAGAAGTTATTTCAAGGGAACGACTTGCTCCCATTGTACCCCTCGTCAACATTATTACATTTACATATTCATATCAGAGCCTTGTGGCTGGACTTGAACAATAACTCGAAATTAATTACGTTGAACAGTTTATAAATCTCGACAAATATAAGTAAAGATAACTTTGATTTAGACTGTAACAGCTGGACAAATGTGTTATAAGAGGGATATTCCCAATACAGTCGCTCAACATATACTCGCCGCCTGAAGATCGCGAACCATAGAATCATAGAGAAGTGTGAACGTTAAGAAGAGATGTTTCCGATGTGTACCAATTAATGACAAAACTAACAATCAGTCAAGTGTTACCTCAGAGTGTCTTTATTCTTATCGCGAAATGCTGCACGTGATTTCCACACTTTACCAGCTAATCCTGCACGAGACATATATGGTGTATCTCGAGTCATGGATTTGTGACGTCACATGTGATGCGTTCATGCGGTTCACACGACATACCAGTATGTTCGTTTGTGCATCGAACCAATCTAATATCTCTTGAATGTGAGTAGTTCTTCATATATTAATGAACATGTATCGTTATGGTATTCGAGTTTCTTTTGTCGGTGAGTATATTTAACTCTGTAATGATGATGCTGTGGATAAAAACACACAAAATGATACTCATCTTCAATACAGACACACAATTTGCTTTACAAAATTCACAAATCCGAAGGTTTTTTTTATCAATATTTAAATACCCATACTACGAATCATGGTTGAATAGGTCTTCAGCAACCCATGCTTTCCGTAAATGGCGACTATGCTTGTCGTATGAGGCGACGAACTACCTTGTCGTATGAGGCCACTAACTACCTTGTCGTATGAGGCGACTAACTACGTTGTCGTATGAGGCGACCAACTACGTTGTCGTATGAGGCGACCAACTACCTTGTCGTATGAGGTGACTAACTACCTTGTCGTATGAGGCGACTAACTACCGACTAACTACCTTGTCGTATGAGGCGACTAACTACCTTGTCGTATGAGGCGACTAACTACCTTGTCGTATGAGGCGACTAACTACATGTACCTTGTCGTATGAGGCGACTAACTACCTTGTCGTATGAGACGACTAACTACCTTGTCGTATGAGGCGACTAACTACCGACTAACTACCTTGTCGTATGAGGCGACTAACTACCTTGTCGTATGAGGCGACTAACTACCTTGTCGTATGAGGCGACTAACTACCTTGTCGTATGAGGCGACTAACTACCTTGTCGTATGAGGCGACTAACTACCGACTAACTACCTTGTCGTATGAGGCGACCAACTACCTTGTCGTATGAGGCGACTAACTACCGACTAACTACCTTGTCGTATGAAGCGACTAACTACCTTGTCGTATGAGGGGTAACTACCTTGTCGTATGAGGCGACTAACTACCTTGTCGTATGAGGCGACTAACTACCTTGTCGTATGAGGCGACTAACTACCTTGTCGTATGAGGCGACTAACTACCTTGTCGTATGAGGCGACCAACTACCTTGTCGTATGAGGCGACTAACTACCATTTTCAATTTTGGGATGGTGGCAGGATACTATAAGCTTACATAAATAGCAACTTATACTAAGGGAAAGGATACCAAGATGTAGTTGATAAGAAACTATTCAGTTTCTTTCTTAATAGTATATCACGTATCCGTGTCTGGAATAATACATCAATTAGACAGTCTCATTAAAAATCAGATCTTTGTTCTCGCAAAACAAAGATCTGAGGACATCCCATTTCGGATCACGTCAAAACGACCTTTCAATCAGAGCCTCGCTTACCAGATTAGGAAAGTGACAGTCGGAATACTCGAGAAAGATGCGTTTTGATTGGCCAATGTCGACTTCTTGCTTGTTACAGTAAACTACGGTTATAACGAGCACGCTTATAACGAACTGACGGATATAACGAACTTACTTGTTTAGTCCCGACTATTTCCTGTAGTTATGCTGTATATATGCTTATAACGAGCTACGGTTATAACGAACTAAAATTAGTAGACCCTTTGAGGTTCGTTATAACCATACTTTACTGTATTTCAAAAGGTCGTTCTGACGTGACCTGTAATAGGATGCCCTCAGGTCTTTGTTAAGCTATAACAAGAACTACGAAATTATTTTAATGAGGTTAACATTTAGGCGTTCTCTTTGAATACAGATCAAAAGGACAGCGGATTAACACTTGCAGGATTTATCCATACGAGGGCTGGTCAAAAAGTTCTAAGCCTAACATACAAAACCAACAACTGTGAAAGTGTTTTGGGTTTTTTCAACATTACCTCTCTGCTTTTCACTGGACTTCTTATATCGACAGTGAGGCTTTTCAATTCCAGTCACGAAGAAGTTTTCTGAAGCCACCCTGAAAACCCCATTCACGGCAGCTTTGAGGTCATCGTTGTCGCCTTAGCGCTTTCCACAAAGGTGTTCTTTCAGTTTAGGAAACAGATGGAAATGCCAGGTCTGGCGAGTATGGAGGGTGGGGAAGCTCTTCGAACCCACATTGTCGCACAGCAGCCTTTGCAAGTCGAGAGGTATGAGAAGAGGCATTGTCATGAATTAGTAGACCTCCAGCAGTCCGCATTCCTCATCGCTTTTCTTTGATAGAATCTGTCAGGCGATGAAGCAAATCTGTATAGTAGGCACCGTCATCGTCTTTTGACTTTCTAAGTAATCAAAAAGGATCACATCCTTTGCATTCCAGAATATAGTGGTCATAACTTACATCACTGATATTGAAGACTTGAATTTCTTTGGTGCCGGAGAAGTTGAATGGAGCCATTCCATGGATTGACGTTTTGACTCGGAATCATAGTGGAAGACCCATGTTTCACCACCCGTTACTAATCTCTTTTTAAATTTGACGAACTCCTCCTCAATAAGCTCTAAATATTCTCTGGCAATGTCAGTTATTTTTCCCCTAAGATCGGAGTTTAGAAACTTTGTCACCTAACGAGCAGATATTTTATTCATCTGTAAATGTTCATGAATAATAGTTGAGGGACGTCCAGACCTGGGGTCATCAAGGCTTGTTTTCCCAGTCTTAAACATAGCTGCCCATCGTATAACAGTGGGATAGCTAGGGAACTTATCCACATACACTTGTGACATGCGGTCATGATATTCTTTTGGAGTACTTTTCTCTGAAGTCAAGAAATTGATGACTGCTCGGTATTCGTTCTTTTCCATTTCTGTGTCCATTTGGACCGCTATCGTGTTCCAATGGCTGTCACTAATATCCAATGAATTAGTCGATCGATCATAACAAATGAAAAGATTTTTATTGTGTTTCAGACAGACAGACAGACAGACAGACAGACAGACAGACTGACAGGCAGACAGTTTATTCAGTATGCAAGGCCATATGGCCCATAGTACAGTTCAGATTTAACAGATACATAAAAACAGATACACCCATGAAGATCCGGTTTAGAATAGGTCTTCAGCAACCCATGCTTCCCGTAACTAACGCGACTAACGGGATCGGGTGGTCAGGCTCGCTGACTTAGTTGATTGATGTCATCGTATCCCATTTGCGTATATCGATGCTCATGACGTCAATCACTGGATTGTCTGGCCCAGACTCGATTATTTACAGACCGCCGTCATATAGCTGAAATATTGTGCGGAGTGAAACAAGAAACAAACATTGTGTTTCATAGGCTTAAAAGCCACATAAATAATCCAAAAAGGGGTAATGCATTACAACATCAAGGTACATAATTTAGCACTTTGGAACCGTTTACTTGCGTCAACCCAATTTCTGTACATGTCTTAATGACGCATCTCCAGTGAATAAATAATCTCATGATCGGGTCATTCTACACAAATGTACTAAAACATGCTATTCTCGTGGGTTTTAAAAAAAAAGTGAAAACAATTTTCACTTCTGTGTTTCTACAATATCAATAGGATACTAGTACATTAAATGATAAAACCACATTTGATGTTGATACTGTTTCTCATGTTTTATGTTATTAATTCAAAGTTCATTTTGCTTTGAACACCATTTACTTTATATTTTAGATATACTTTTTATAAATTAATATCGTGCTGAGTACTTTTTTTATAGAGGTTAAATAAGATAGGTTACAATAATTATGCCCAGACAAATAAATTTATTAACTCAATTTATGATGAAGGCATGTGTCAATAGTGCCACTTTTGGTGGAATCGTCCGATCTTGTTCTTCCTGTGGAGGTGATGATGAAAATGCACCTGGGACTTACCCCTCTTCGATGCAACAGTCAACTTTCTGCAAATATGCCATGTTTGTGACCAATTAAGATATATCCGACAATATATGCACAATTTTCGTAAAACATCTAGATTGAGTATTCTCTTAAGAAGCTGAGATGAGAGCTGACAAATTCACGTGGCGTTAATGATCAAATGGTTCATTGGTTAAATACATACGGGTATAAAGTAAAACAATATACAATCCCATTTTATCAGAGTAGATCAGTTGTTTACCCATTAACTGTAAACGTCTTTTTATTTTTTTATCTTAATTGTGCAGAATGCCACAACAGGTAATTGTCATGTTTTGAAAAAGCCATCTCTACTCCGCTGTCTAACAACTGGGGTATGACCAAACTCGCGTTGTCCACGCACACACCTTTGCCAATAACCACCCACCTTCCCCTTTTACATAATATGCACCAAACAGTACATGTTGCTATCGTTACCACAATAAACAAGCGGCTACTGTTGCCTCACTCGCTGACATAATACTGACTGAGTGAGAAGCGTCAATGTGGCCTTGAAAGTTACATCCCTCAGCTTGCCGGTGGTAAAATGCAATAAAACAAATTCGTGATACTTCATCAGTCAAAAAGAACTATATTTCCATGCACTAGTCCAACATGAAATACTCCCCGTCTATGAAATGTACAGTTGAAAGTATTGTAACAATCTATGCGGTTTTTTGGGTGGTTGGGGTGAGGGTGTACCTTTGTGTCGATGAAGGTCTCTGCTATTGCAACATTTAATACCTTTGTGTCGATGAAGGTCTCTGCTATTGCAACATTTAATACCTTTGTGTCGATGAAGGTCTCTGCTATTGCAACATTTAATACCTTTGTGTCGATGAAGGTCTCTGCTATTGCAACATTTAATACCTTTGTGTCGATGAAGGTCTCTGCTATTGCAACATTTAATACCTTTGTGTCGATGAAGGCCTCTGCTATTGCAACATTTAATACCTTTGTGTCGATGAAGGTCTCTGCTATTGCAACATAAAACATCTATGTGTCGAGGGCGACCTCTGTTATTGTAACATTAAATACCTGTATGTCGATGAGGGCCTCTGCTATTGTAACATTAAACACCTTTGTGTCGATGAAGGCCTCTGCTATTGCAACATAAAACATCTTTGTGTCGAGGGCGACCTCTGTTATTGTAACATTAAATACCTGTATGTCGATGAGGGCCTCTGCTATTGTAACATTACATACCTGTATGTCGATGAAGGCCTCTGCTATTGTAACATTAAATACCTGTATGTCGATGAGGGCCTCGGCTATTGTAACATTAAACACCTTTGTGTCGAGGGAGACATCTGTTATTGTAACATTAAACGCCTTTGTGTCGAGGGCGACCTCTTTTATTGTAACATTAAATACCTGTATGTCGATGAGGGCTTCTGCTATTGTAACACTAAACACCTTTGTCTCGATGGTGACCTCTGCTAAATGTTATAACATTATGCACCTGTCCGCTCGGTTCCAAATTCAATTTAGCGATGTTAAATCTACTGGTAACCCAGCTTTGCGTTGAAAACACAGTTTGTGTATCTTCTAATACATACACCTGAGGTCGGGAAAGCCACTCACAAATAAGGTATCCATGGCAACATTTCTGCAAAGCAGCTGGCATTTTTGTAACAGACTCGCCAAAAATGCCAACTGCCTTGCAGAAATGTTGCCATGATTACTTTATATTTTCCATGAATTTCACAACTTCAAGTAATTGTAATTACACCGTTATGTTGCCTTTTGCATCAAATGGAATCTGTTTCGGTGGATAAGCGAGATTGGGCAAATCTTAGGCTGTTAAGAAATAAAGTAATCGACTATGTCCGTAAGGCAAAGAAAGCACATGCATCTTAAATTGATACTGTAATAAATAGTTCTCAAGATACAAAGACTTGGTGGCGTGTAGTAAAGGAATTTCTTAAACTTAAAACACAAATTTCCACCCGTTGTATGAAAATTCCATGGATATTGCTAATACTCTCAATAACTTCTTTGTGGACCAATCTCGCATATGTAATCCTGATATGCACCTTCCACGCGAAGAATTAGAATAAGTGGAAAATCTATAAGTAAATATAATTTTCATGGAAGATGAAGTTAGGGATATACTGCTGTCCGTGGACACCACAAAGGCAACTGGCCCTGATTGTATTGGAAATAAAGTACTTAAAAACACAGTTTACTGTTTAGCCCCAATACTTACTTAACTATTCAATTTCTCTCTTAAACGAGCAATATTCCCATCACTATGGAAAGAAGCTCTTATCATTCCTATTCATAAGAAGAATAGCGTGAATGAATGGACAAATTACAGACCGGTTGCGCTCACAAGTTGTTCAGCAAAGATATTTGAAAATGTATATTTAAACATGTGTACAATTATTTAAGGAATAATACTGTGCTCACTAACCTACAATCAAGATTCACGCAGGGAAACTCCACCTCAAATCAGTTGACATATTTATATGACTATATGGCAACGGCTTTAGATGAAGGTAAGGAAGTTAGGGCTGTATTTCGTTACGTAAGTAAAGCTTTTGATAACGTTTGGCACAAAGGAAAAATTTATAAGTTACACCATTATGGTATTTGTGGAAATTTATTGAGATGGTTTGATAGTTACTTAGAAGATCGATATCAGAAGGTATTATAAATGGCTATAGCTCAGATCCAAAAGCTGTCTTGGCAGGTGTGCCACAGGGCTCAGACCTGGGACCATTATTGTTTATTATCTATATCAATGACATTGTTGAAGGAATAAATAGTAATATAAGACTTGATAACACATCTTTGTATCATATCATAGAAGATTCTGATATAGCTGCTCGTGATCTCAATACTAACTTGGACAGAATTTCAGAATGGGCTGCTAGATGGAAAGTTAAATTGAATCCCTAAAATACTGAATCTATTCAATTTACCCGTAAAGTAAACCCTAGGCGCAAACCTAACTTATATATGAATGGTACAGAAATCAAAGATGTACAAAGTCATAAGCACCAAGGTAATACTTTACAAAGAAATTGTACATGAAAAATGCACATTGAGGATATTGTAAGGAAATGTTGGCCTCTGGTTAATTGTTTAAGAAGTTATAAATATCGTCTATCCCGAACTACCTTTGAAACTATGTATAAATCATTTATTTTACCATTGTTTTTATTATTGTTGTTATATTTGGGACAACTGTAAAAATAAACAAGCTAACTTATTGAAAAATTACACTTAGATGCTCTTAGAACCACATGTGTCCGGGGTACGAGTCATCGGAAGATTTACAATGAAACAAATTGTAAGTCATTAAAAGACAAAAGATATAATTCAAAACTGGTAATATTTTACAAAATGAATAACCATTTCTCCCCGTAATATCTTTGTAGGCTTATTCCTAATATAGTTTCGGAAAACACAAATTATGACTTAAGGGATAAAACTAATCTCTAAACAGTGAAGTGTAAAACAAAAGCTTATGCAGATTCATTTATACCAGCTACAACACAACTTTGGAATATGTTGCCAGAAAATCTAACGGGGACAGAGACCGTTACACAATTTAAGAATTTGCTTCTCGTAAAGGGAGATAATGGTATACACTGGGATTAAAATTATGGAAGCAGATTATGTCAAATATTTCGTATGTAATGAATGCCAAACTAACATTGCAGCTTCCACGAATTTTTTCCTGAAAAAACACAAGCATCTGTAAATGAGTGTTTTTAAGAATATTCAATCTAACAGGAGTTTGATAAAAGATATGTGTCTTATTTGGACACCGGGGCTCACTGGAGTGGGATCTGGACAAGTCAAGTTAGGGTCACTCGTCGGGTAAGGGGGTCGACCATTTGAATATTATGGGGGAGTGGGGCTGGGATTTTATCGAATACCGATTTTCCCTGAAGTTTTTTTTATTCTCTGCGTCAGACTGTAGGAAAAAAGAAACTGCACCCCTCCCCCTACCTCCTCGAATATCAAAATGGTTCGTCCCCCAAGTCATCTGGTCAAAGGGAGGCAACTCTTTTCGTTCACATTCCATATCACCCTAACACAGTATATACGTGTGTTCAGGGGATCTACCTTTTGATACTGATGGTGACAACTCCCCGTTAGTCTAGGCGTCAGACAAACAACTTAATTTGCCTTGGCATTCATTATCTTGAATCATATCAGTGTACACAGCTGGTACAAATCAAGTAGACTGAGAAGTTCACGCAGTATGATATTGATTATAGTCACTCGTTTGCAAGAAAAAGAAAACCTGCAATGCGGCGTCCGGAATATAACAGGCTCGGCATTCGGCGTACCGAAAGGGGGTTTGCACCCTCGAAACTGATAAACGGACGGTGGGATGAACTGACGCACACACACACGCACTGCTTTCAACTAAAACCCCTTTTGAAATCATGGACATCATGAATATGTTAGCCATATGTCACCAGGAAGTACATACCGTATACTATACAATCAAACTAAATGTTACTTGATTATTCTAGTTGACTGTAAATATTTCCCGGTGAAATTTTAGGCTGTATCATGCACTGGCGTTTTTATTTTCATTTATTTACTTCCCGTAGTATATGTAATGATACACAAATGATTAAAACATGTCGTCTTAGTCAATTAAGCATATACAATTATTATCAATTGTATAAATCACACGTCATAAGAACACCGGCTAACATGTAAAGTGGTGAAAGTGGAGATTTCATACAGATGGAAAACATGGAAACCGTGTCTAAATCTGGTGCTAATGGTGATGATGAACACATCAAAATATTTTTAAAAAAAAGTAATATGACGTGGCTTTATTACAAAACGAACATATTCTGATTGTAAGTGAGGGCCTAAGCATTGGTAAGTCTATGGCTATATTCACAAATATCGGGCAATTATTGTGTACACAAACACAAGATACTCGTAATCTTCCCATCCGTGTTCTTTTTTTATCGTGACCAGCTGTAATCATATCTCGCGTCTATGTTTGTTCGTCTCAAAATAAAATTAGAAATGTGCTATAGCTTACAGGAAGTGCGAGAAGTGGAAACAAACATTAACTTGACCCTTAGTTGCGCATGCGCGCACCATGTGAAGGCAACCAACTCTGGAAAGTGAGAGGCCTTCTGGATGTTTTGTTATTGATAAACATAAACTGGTGCCCGACCAGGGTACCAGTTATCACCGAAAATGGCGTGTCTAGCGAACTTGAAACAGGATATCAAACTTTTGGAGACTTCTTTCCCGAAAGACCACGAAAGGTTTCAGATTCGATCTGCAACACTCGATGAACTGTCATGTCGATTCATCGGAAGAAATGGGAATCACTACGACATTCAAGCAAATATCACGGTATAACGAAACATATAAAGAGCCATCATCTTTGAAATGCCTTAGAAGTAGTTGCAACAAATCCTTCATTCACGTAATTCGGTTTTTGCGTCTGTTTCCTTGTCGTTTTAGGCATGAAATGATAAGCGGAAGTGATGTCAATAGCCTGGCAATGAGTAAAGTTGACAACACTCCTCTTTGTCACAATGTCAGCAAGGCCCTGCGATTTTCCGAACTAGATATTAGGATTAACTTATTAATACATGAAATATAACGATACATTAATAGTATGTAAGAGTCACGTAAGACTGTTTAGAATTTGTATGATATAAACGTGCTGTAATCTATTGTTGTATGCCATACTCAAATCACCAGCATGATAGAATCAAATTAAAGGAAAAGACATGTGAACCTTTATGTTTTCTATCTTTTGTGGAAGGTTTCACAAGGTTCCTTAATGATCAATCTAAACTATCATTAAGCATTATCATCTTGGAGAAATGTAGAAATGTTTCTAACCATCAGAAGTGGTAACGTGATATGGTTACATCTCTTTTCAATGCATAGAGTATGATGCTTACCTTGAAATATTATGTGTTTCAAAATGCCAAAAATTGTGTGCCATTATTTGGTAACCAGGGATCGCACTTGTCTATATTATTTGATGCCAATTATAGGAAAGTATTTTGATACAAATAGCAAATGATACAATGAAACATCCCTACTAGTACCACCAGTACTAGGTTAGCATTATTAGGACATAGTTCTTCTGGAAAGATAAACAAATTCTGGAGTCAGGCATTTTATGTCTTCCACAAACTTGTTTGCTCCAACCAGGCTGTTGCTTGATTTCTGGTGGTAAATAGAGTCGACATAAAAGCTGTATGTATTGACGGATGATGGAGGAATGTTGTTTGTACAAACCCCTGAAATATTGACGATGAGCCCTAGTCCATATATTATACTTTACCTAGTAATAACGATACTGGGAGATAGCTGTTATACAAGTTAGGGCTAGTAGAATCGAGAGTTTCAGCACAGATTGTAAGGATAAAAACAATACCTAATATAGCCATATCCCTCGTGGGACACAACTTACATTAGCATGATTAGTTTGAATGCCTTTGTTGTGTTTAGATAAGACAGTATTATTATTGAGTTAAATAGTTTATAATTTTAATACACCTATTAATTTGGATTTGTATGTTAGTGCAATATAAGATTTACAATACAAAAGTTTTGATTTACAATGCTACTGTTTGAGGTTTGTCTTTTCCTGATCATTTGCTGGAGTTCCATCCCTAAACCATGTTAACAGTGCCAGGATCAGCTGTAGTGATCCACGATCATTATCTGTGTGTGTCGACGGGACGGGTGCAGGCTAAAACTGCACCTCAGCAAAACCACTGGTTTCTCGGGCGAAAACAGCACCTCATTTGGCGAAAATGCCTACAAATTGTCAGATAGAAATGGCACCTCTGTTTTTAATAACGATAAGAACGATTTATGTAGTAGTATATATGCTTTATTAACATGCTATGTTATGTTATTATGTTATGCTGTGGTATATGTGTAGGAGAAACCATGTCTCCGAGGGATTACTAGTAATTGTAAACCCTCACAATGTTTTTAATGAAATAACTATCATAAACACTCTCAAATGTATAACCTGTATCAGAGATGAAATATCGCCTGCAGTCGTGAACTCGGTTCAGTGAAACCGGTGACCTCAGCATGTGGGTTTCTCAAAGGTGCGAAATCTGCACATGCGTCTCACAATGGCACAAAATCTGCACGTGCGTCTCGTAGGCTGAGACTATTACACATTTTGCTTTGACTGATGCTCATTCGTTGTACAGCCTGTTGCTGGCATACGGATCTGGAAAAGGACATTCTAAAAAGCAGTGCTGCTTTTCAACACCTATGTAGCCTTGCGGTACACTCAATGGGCTACAGATATGAAGGTTGAGAGTTCAATCCTCGGGAATATAAAGAAAACATTTGTCATTTGATTTTACATTTCAAAACATGTTACAATCTGAACGGAAGTAATAATGATTGTAAGCCCTCCTGCGAGGTGTTACAATCGTTGTATACCTCTTGCAAGGTGTTACAATCGTTGTGTACCTCCTGCGAGGTGTTACAATCGTTGTAATACCTGCTACGAGGTGTTACCACAATTTCAAAAACTCGATATCGAGTTACACTAACAGCCAGTAGGTTTATAAATGTTTTCCTTGGGCGGGGACATCGTCTGTTTTCTGCAGAAACATTCTTGTGATGTGGGCTGTCGGCAGAAAGGGGATTTATGAAATATCTATAAAATTACTATTTATTTTCTACTTACTAAAATAAATATTAAATATATAGTATATGGTATACCTGAAGTACAATATCTTGACATTTCCGCCAGTCTCAGTTTCAGATTGATTTTGAGTTAATTTGAGTAAAGGTAATCAAAGCATGTGATGTTTTCACAATAAGTTTAGTTGTGCCTCCCAGTCAATTGGAGTAGAGGCTAGTTTCTTACGTAAATTTGTTTTAACATTTCGCAATTATTTGTGTTTGCAAGTGACTACATGAGTTGTTGTTTTTCCATGTATTTCAGTACCAAGGTAAAAAAAAAATAGGGTGCCGTTTTCGCTTTAGACGAGGGGACATTTTCGCAAATTGGTGCTGTTTTGCTGAGTTGCAGTTTTAGCTATAACCCGTGTTCACCACATACCTATGTGTATGGGTTTTACTAAAGTGGTAACATATAAGACCTGCATCACTTTGGGCTTTGCTTCCACAAAGTAAGAGGACATGTTGTGTTAAAACTGAAATACTAGATGGCATTTAGAATAAATCACTCACTTCTGCAAAACATGTTATGATAGATCAGATGGGTACAATGTGTGAAGCCTATTTCTGGTGTCCCCCGCCGTGATATTGCTGGAATATTGCTAAAAGCGGCGTAAAACCATACTCATGGTCAAAGGACAGAATTATTCTTGGAATACCAGGAGATATAATAACATAATCAAGTGATAACAAGGAAGAAACCTATCTTCATAAACACGAAAGTGTTTATTGGACAAATGTTACACCAGTGAGCTTAAAATAGTGCACACAGTAGATGTGATAGAGTTGCAATGAAAGTTGTATAGTTTAATTTATTTTTTTAAGAGAAGCGGTGGTCGGGTAGCCTAGTGGTTAATGCGTTCGCACATCACGCCAGAAACCTGGGTTCGATTCCCGACATGGGTACAATGTGTGAAGCCCATTTATGGTGTCCCCCGCCAACATTTTGCTGGAATATTGCTAAAAGCGGCGTAAAACCATACTCACTCACTCACTATTTAAGAGAAAATATTTACTATGAGTAATATCTAACCCTTCAGGTGACACATCTTGTTTCGACAAGCATAAAAGAATAGACAATGAAGGGGTAGGGGAATTCCCATCTTCCTGAGGCAAGAGAATTAACTGACTATAAAAGTCCAGTTTCCACCCTTGCCGAACTAGGCTGGTATTATGGAGTTACATTTTGGCTGGACTAACGAGTCTATGCATAGTCCAATCAAAATCGCGCACCGAAATCGAAATCTGGTTAATAAACTGTCGTGCAGATTTTTTGTCGACTGCAGGATTTGCACAACATGTGCACCACCAACTCGTTGTCAGCAGATATTTTCAAAATCTTTTCATGCTTTTAATCAAGGTGCTCACGTGATTTGATGCATTTCGCGATGTAAGACCAGTTTTATCACAATATAGATCTTGATTATCTATCAGATCGTCTTGACTGGGTGTCACCATTTTGTGTGAAGCAAACGCAAGTAATACGAGAGGTGGAATTTGATTGGTCCATAGGAGAGGGACATAACTGGTTATAGCCACTGGTGGCGCTATGATCGAGCCCAGTAATTCCAGCCTAGTTTGGCCAGGGTGGAAACTGGACTTTTAAAGTCGGTTAACTCTCTTGCCTCGGGAAGATGGGGAATTCCAGGATTAGATCTTATCCTTTATTCCTTCGGGGTGGATAGTTTTCAGATCAAAAATCCATTTAAGTTCAGTGGATCAGAGTCTAGCCATGCTCTGGTCTGACTCAGGGTCCATTTTTAGCTGTTGTATCATTTGATGGTGTAGGTCTCTGGTTGAGTGTCTCACAGAATTATAGTGTTTGGCGACAGGTTGGTCCCATTGGTGGTTGGTATCGGCAAAGTGTTCTTTGAGTTGAATTCAGAAGTGTCATTTCGTTTCTCCTACATATTCATATTGTTTCCCACATTCAGAGTAGTTTAGTAAATAGATTATGTTTCTACTTTTACAGGTGAAATGCGTTTGGCATTTGTATTTGTTGCCTGTTATATCTCTACTGAAGGTGTTAACTGACTTTATATTTAGCAGATTTTACATGATTGTTTGTGAGTCTATGTGACAGTTGTCATCCAGGTTGGCGACAGTTCACCCACTGATTTGTGGTTTGAGTGGTGGGCATGTAATTGCCGCTTTCATGAGGATGTCTCTAAGTGTGCGGTTCTTCCTACATGCTGTGATGTGTGGGACTGAAAGAATAGGCCTAGCTGCATTCTAGTCTGCAGAAACGTCGACTATTTTATTTAGGTCTTGAGATGAGGATCATGGTGGTGACTGTTGTAACTGTTGACAATTAATTTTTTGGGATTATTTCCTGGTTTCATCAAAACTGAAATGAAACTTGCTTTGAATGAAGTAAACAAAATGTCTCATGGCAAGTGCTTCCATGTATTATTCCCAGCCACACATTCGGAGCAGGGTATCATGGGGTATGGTGTACTTGGTACTGTCCTTCCCTCTTTCCTTCTCACATTTTGTTTCCTGAACATAGCTCAACCTGTGAATGAAACTGTGCATTCAGTATTCCTTTCATCAAACTCTGCACAACGATCAGTCTAGCCATAGACAGGTGCCTTTAGCTACATTGTATTTAGGAATATTTTGAAAATTATATATTTTTCTGGTTTCCATGACAACAAATTCTTTTCAATGAAGGGTTCATTTCCGTAACATGCTGAACATTTGTTCATATGTATTTCCTCACTTAGCAATGAAGTGGTCAGCTATTGACTTTCATGTTTTTTTCTTTTTTTTTGTGGTCTTTTTTGTTTTTAATCATTCAATTGTAACAAATGCAAAACGCAGTGTAGCCAATGGTGGCTACTGCTACCTGGTGTCTTCTCATTGTGTCACAACCCTACTAATATGGCTAAAGGTACCAGTTAGCTAGCAGCATAGTAATCTGTTTGTGAGTCAGTGTCATTGACTTATTAGAACAAGTCCCAGGCAGCTGTTGTGGTCAGATTGTCAGATATGAGTATTTCATGCTTGTTGGGACTGGGAGTGTGTGTTTTGATGATAAAGATGACATATCATTTATCATTGTACCTGTTCTCTGTATAATTCATTAATTGCAGGTGCAACTGTTGTATCTCTGACATTGCTATGTTGTGTTGTTTGTGTTTGAAGTTGTGTACTCGAATACTTTTTCTATTAATCTCATGAACTGAAGTTTGAGTAGTGACAAGATAGTCAATCAGTTTATAAAAAACATCATTTTTAAACTGTAGTTTATTTTCTATTTTCAGGAAACGTATCCACAGTCAGCTCCAATCTGGTTCAGTGATTCAGAGGAAGTGGTGGTCACCACTGTAATAGAGAGACTTACAGAAACCACTCCCGACAAATACAATGTAAGCTGAAACTGAAATGATGGTTCCCACTTGGGGATTCAGGGGCAGAATAGGCCCTCAGTACCTAATGCTTGACGTCGTCATGGTCATGAGAGCCACGAAATGAGGATCAGGTGGTTACAGTGTTTGATCTGGCTGATTGTGTGTCATTGTTGCTCCTGATGTCGACCACTAGTTCACTTTACTTGATAATCTTGGGGTTGTCATGATAATACTGTACGGAACATTACTATATACCAATATTCTTTCACTCCACCTTTGGACTTATGCTTTTGTCAGAGTTCACAAAATCACCAAAACCCAATTCACTCTGAGTTGGACCCGTGAAGATTCCGGGGTAGAATAGGTCTTCAGCAACCCATGCTTGCCGTAAAAGGTGTCTATGCTTGTCGCAAGAGGCGACTAACATGATCGGGTGGTCAGGCTCGCTGACTTGGTTGATGCATGTCATCGATCCCAATTGCGTGGATCGATGCTCATGTTGTCAATCACTGGATTGTCTGGTCCAGACTCAATTATTTACAGACCGCTGTCATATAGCTGGACTATTGCTGAGTGCAGCATTAAACAAAAAACGAAACAAACTTTCTGAGTTGCCTGCATACAAGTACACATTAAAAAACTTGATAGCCCAATAGTATAATAACATAGTGTATTGAGCCAATGTAATGTAGCTATTTCAGCTTGCCTATGCATGTCTTTACAGATCTTTTCTTACTGAATGAATACAGGCATCACATATACATGAACTGTGCTGCACATGTGCAACATCTTGCTTATTGTAACTTGACATACCGTATTCGACGTAATAAGCGCCCACGGCGACATTTGCTAAGATATTGGCTAGTGAACAATCCCAATTAGCACCCCTTCCGATTGATCAATGTACACAAGACTTATTTATTCGCGTATAATACGCACTCGTGTGTTATATGCATCCTTAATTATGGGCATTTAATTCTGGAAAAATATATCTGTCGTACATAAACATTTCAGGCTGTCAGCATAAACCACGAAATTTATCTTTCAACTCTGTATTTTTCACCAAAATAACATTCTAATAAGAGCCCCCTATTTCTAATTTTGAGAGCGCCCTGGGCGCTTATTACGTCGAATACGGTATATCACTGTTATGAGAGGTTATGTGACATGGGACTCACTTAAAGGGCAAGTTCACACGGAAATGAACCTATTTTTCTTGTACTTTTTCCACATTAAAAGTGTTAACATAGAAGTGTCATAGACAAAAATATAAAAATATCACAATTAATTAACATATTTTTCGCATTAAAACGATTTATATTTTTCACATTTACCAAGTGTTCTATTTCCACAACAAAAACATCATGGCTTATGCCCCTTGCAATATGACGTCATTGGTGCCAATTGATAAACATTATGACGTCATCATGCTTTGTTAGAGCCGCTTCACGTGGTGTAGGTCCAGGTGTGTGATTCTAGCGTCTCAGATGCCAGCCAGCATAGTGTTATGCTGAGTCACCACTGCGCCGGAGTGTGTCGTAGGCCATGTTGTTTTACCGCAAACTGGTACTTGATATCTTTTGCGTTGAGAATAGACAGGGACCCAGTTGAATTGGCACCAATTACGTCATAATCTAAGGGGGATAACTCAGGCCTGTTTAGCTCGAAAAACGAAGGCCTCATAACGGCATATCATTTTCACACTATTGTGAGCTTCCTACGTTCACTGTGAAAAAAATGAGTGTATATTTTCAAACACAGATACTAATTAATTCTAAAATTGCGTTTTGTTTAGAAAAAGAAAGAAAGTGATTTTTGCGTGTACACTTCCCCTTTAAGGCAGCATATGGATATTTCAAAAAACAATGTTTCCATGGCAACAAACCGGACTTGGACTCAAAAACATGTGGTATTTGTTCCGGAGCAAAACCCGGAAACTCTTTGATATTTTATTATGAAACTTTGCATATGTATCAAACACATGCTAAACTGGTGCCTTTTACTGTTTCCTTAGTAACAAGTTGGACTTAAACCAAATACAGGTTACTTTCATTACCAGAGCGTAACTTAAAAGTCAGGAATGGTGTGGTGTTCATTTCTGGATCATATGTACATAATGTTTTCATATATTATCCATGGAACGTTATACCCATATTAACAGAGTACCAAAACTGTCAAGCTATTTGGATTTTCTAGAAAAAGAGCTTTGCAGGGTTGTCTTGAGAATTGTTGTCATAATTACCTGATTGAGATGTATCACACCTGACAAAGGAACTTGTACACGGTATAAAGGTGAAAAAAACAAAACCACAATTAACAAGTGACACCTGAACCAGCCTACTTCCTCGCTGTGGGTTTTATAATTTTTTTAGTGCTTGCAATTAGGCTATTCACGATAAGTTCCACTGATGCCATTATGTTTTTGTTCTGGAGTTGCCCTCCCTTTCTCAGTGTATATTCACTACAATATGAACAACAAAATTCTGATGTGCCCTATCATGCCTATGGGGGATAATGATAACGATGTTTTCTGTATAGTTAATTTGTCATGTCATGCACAGCAGTTTATGAACCGGAATGTCAATTTCGTTGAGTGATTTTGATTGGACTATGCAAAGATTCATTAGTCCAGCCAAATTATAACTCCATAATTCCAGCCTCTTTCTTCGAGTGTGAAACTGGACTTTTATTGTCAATAAACTCCCTTACCTCGTGAAGATGGGTTAGCTTCAGCCTTTTTTTGTACTTCTCAATTCATAGAATATTTTCCATTATCTTGAAGTTGAAAGTTTCTTTCAATCAGAATATCGTAGTTTTTTATCCCCGTGGCATATAATGTGGGGGGATAGAGCTATGGGCATGTCCGTCTGTTTGAATCGTTTACGGAGCAGGACTTGAAAACCATTAAATATTTCTTCATCAAACTTTGCATTTATATCACTTAAGTGGTGAAGTTGTGCCTTTTGCTATTTTGGAATTTTTCCAATTTTTTTATTTTCCAATTTTGATGAAAGCATGCTGGACATAGGCTAACTTTGTGAGTGATGTTTGTTTCCGGAGCAGAACTCCGAAACTGTTAAAAATTTCTTCATCAAACTTTGCATTTATATCACTCAAGTGGTGAAGTTGTGCCTTTTGCTATTTAGGAATTTTAGAAATTTTTATTTTTACATTTCCATGGCAACAAGTTGGACATAGGTTCTATAGGGTAGAGTTCGTTTCCGGAGCATAACTCAAAACCCATTCAAAACTTTTTAACAAAACTTTGCATATCTATCAGACTCATGCTGAACTGGTGCCTTTTGCTATTTAGGAATTTTATAAAATTTTATTTTTTACGTTTCAATGGCAACAAGTTGGACTTAGGTTCTATAAGGGTGGTGTTCGTTTCAGGAGCATAACTCAAAAACTGTTAAATACTTTCTTACAAAACTTTGCATGTCCACCAGGCACATGCTGAATTGGTGCCTTTTGCTATTTAGGAATTTTATAAATTTTTATTTTTTACGTTTCCATGGCAACAAGTGGGATTTAAGTTTTAATATAGGATGGGTTCACTTATGGAGTATAACAAATAAACTGGTAAATATTTCCTTGCCAAACATTGCATGTCTATATATAAAGCACATACTGAACTGGTGCCATTTTATATTCAGGAGTTTTAGAAATGTTTATTTTAGAATTTCCATTGCTGCTATTTTGACATGGGCTAAGAGAAATGTTGGGTCAGTTACCTGGTTTGGGACCAAAACGTGTTAAAATGGGCGGGGGATATAGATGACTTTGTAGACTATACGCTTGTTTAGTTGTTGTTTCTCTAAATTTGTCATTTGTTTGCATAAAAAAAACCCACAGAAACACTTGTTTTACTTTCCATTTCATATGGATGCGACCATGGTGGATCTTTTGTTGGTAAACAATGTATGCTTCTTCAAGAACATTCAACTCTTGACTCATTACATACAGAATTGCACATTTAGTTGTGGTTACTTTACAGGGGGGATATGTCATCTTTCTGATGACTCTTGTTTTACTCTAGTGCACACCTTTTTTCCCAAAACATACAGCTTTGTAGAGGGGGGTTTGATATGAGTTTTGATATTTTTCCCCCACCGCAAAGACATTACCCTGAGCATGTAACACCAGGAATACCTTGTCAACAAATCCATGAGGTATGCAATTCTTTCCTGTTATTACACTATCTTGTTATAAAAAGTGTTCATTGTATATCATTGTATAATGTCTAGTGATGTTTTATCGCAAATTTCACATTTTCATGGATCAAGTTTTATCACCTGCTCGTTCCCAGAAGGGATACAATGTAGTTTTGGAGTGCGCATAAAACTACCTTTTTTCCAAAATGTTGCATCTCCTAGAGGGGGGTGCATTATACTTGGGTGCACACTTTAGACAAGAAAGTACAGCAGTTGTACAGCACTTCATTTGGAACATATGTACCAGGTACGTAGACAGGAGATGTAAATGGTTAACATGGTAAATAGGCAACCTAAATAGTGTTTGTCACAAGATGATAAACAATCGGACATTGCGAAGGCCATTGGCAATCAATTTCAGTTTATTGCCCATAAACATGCCAATATGTTTATATTGTGACAATTTTGACATTTGAGTCCAGAATGGAAGCTGGTAACAGGTTAGGCAAATGAACATGATCAGCTAATTTATTCTGAAATCAATACAGGCAATAATTATTGAAATAATTATTCAGACCTGTCATTGATTGAAAATGTTGTTATGAAGGAGAAAGGAGTTTGATATTTTGATACTTTATTTTGTACCATGGTGCCAAAAAAATAAGGATTGTGGACAAGTTGTTGAGGATTTCAAACTGTTTTCATCATTTGTCATGACCCATGTTTCATTTATATCCCCTGAGGGATATGCTGAATTTGAGAGGATCAGAGCTACAGATAAGCAGCGTATTTGCGTAAAATACCCCCCTAAAATATTCAAAACCCAGTTACTTTCAATTAACTAGCATGCATCAAAGGAAAAACTCAAATGTATAAAAACAACATGCGTAAATACCCAATGAAGTTTTTTCAGCATTCGTACAAAGGAGCTAATTTCTGAAACACATTTACGAGCTTATTTATTAAGCCTATATATTTAGAACAGTTATATACATCTCAAACAATATGTCATTTTTTTTTTAAATCTTAAGATGTTCACTAATTTTGGTAAATACTCAATAGAGTGATGAATAGATGAGTGAAAAAATATTTTTTTTGATGTTGTCTACTTAAGACATATTTCTAGTGAGCCAGTTGATTTGGATCATATCCTTCTGTTTTCATGATTATCATGTGTTCCCTGTTTCAGGGCGGTGTGGTAGTCTAGTGGTTAAAGCGTTGTGACAATGTATGTGAAACCCATTCCTGGTAACCCCTACTGTGATATTGCTGACAGTGACCTAAAACAATACTCACTAAGTATCATAGTTAATACTGATATTTGCTCCCTTTTGGGATTACGGGTTACCAGAAGTCCACAAACCAAGGCTGGTCATAAAGGCAACCATATGGTTCGGGTGGTCAGACTTGGTTTCCTTCTACCCAGACAGAGTGGATTATTGCTCACAATATCGATCACAGGATTGTGTAATTTACAGGCCGTCGTCATATAGCTGGAATATTGCTAAGTGCGGCGTCAAACATCAAACCAACCAACTGATATTTGCTAGGGCCAACAGGCATGTCTGCTGTGGCAGAATTTATCTATGAATGAACCTTGTCACTGAGAGATTATACAGCTGGACACCACTTGTCCTCCCCTTGCTAACTCAACATGGTCAAGTAGCAAGCACATGATAGGACATATTGATATAGTAAGGTCAGAAAGTTTACTTTGAAAGCTTGCCGTGTTCAAAGTTCCATGAACAGTGTTTGAAGTTGAGCATGAAACAGGTTAAAGGCAGATATTCAGCCCCAAGTCTGGAGCAAATATCTGTAAAAATTCCCAATTTTGAACTGAAAATTCCCCATTTCATATATACTTTTGAATCATGTTATGGCCTCTTAGTGATGCAGTGTAACTGTATATATCTGATAACAGGAGAGGAAGAGGCTTTAATGTTTATTTTTAAATTATTGCAATGTTATTGTACAGTTTTGTTGATGTAGTTTTGATATATTGTGACTCATTTATTAAAAAGGCTTATTTTCCATTTTAAACAAGATGAATTAATTCCCAATTTGCCTGCCAAGGGCACTTTATTTGAAATCCTAGATAAATCTGTATGAAATCCATATGATACAAACTGAAGACTGAGGAAAAATCCTGCAAGCCCCAGGATAACTTAAACAGCAGGTGTGTAAGAGAACTGACATGGGCTGGAAGACTAGTGCTAATCTCTGTATGAATTTTTTTATTCAACATTCAAGTGTATTAATATCTCACTGAAACTGCTCCGGAGTGTCAGATTCACTGTAACGATGGTGGTGTACACCGTGTCAGTGTTGTAGTGGACACTAATTTAGTCTCTTGTTTTGATCAAGTTAGTGAAGAAAATGAAAATCCCACATTGAATTTGCAATTGGTTTATGTTGGTCAGTTGTTGACTTTAGAGGGAGACTGTGCCAGTGTAGACACATGATGGTCAAATTTAATGTCATTAAAGACAGGACACTAATTAGTTTCACTTCCAATGTTATTTGAACTGATGTTTGACCGTTTGTTGAAGTGGATGGAGCGTCTGCCCAGAGAGTGAAACGCCATTGGTTTGATGCCTTGTCTGCATCCTACTAAAGGGTGGTACTTGTTGTTACCCTGCCAGGTGCTCAGCATTAAGAAAGGAAGGAGTGGTCGGCTCAGTCAGCAATATGTGTCTGAGTAGGGTATCCTAGTTGAACTGTGGTATCAGGTCTCAGTGGGTTGGCGCTATAGTAATATAGTACAAGCAGCCACACACATGCATGCACATCACTGTCGAAGTGAAGCAATCTTGAGTGCAACATTAAAACCCATTTCACATAATATTTGATGTTTGACTGTGCCATTACATTTAAAAAGACCCATGAAGATCGGGGGTAAAGATAGGTCTTCAGCAACCCATGCTTGCCGTAAAAGGCGACTAACGGGATCAGGTGGTCAGGCTCGACGACTTGGTTGATGCAATGTCATCGTTTGGCATCATATAGATTAATGCTCATAATGTCAATCACTGACAATCACACAATTTATTTACAGACCGCCGTCATATAGCTGGAATATTGCTGAGTGTGACGAAAAAAAACAAAGAAAACAAACAATCAAACATTGAAACTTGTATAAGATACATAAGATGAGATGTTATGTTTTGAGATGTTTAAATGTTGTTTTTCAGATATATTATGATACCCTTATTAACATGGTTAGATATTTGTTATCATTACAATGACATGCAGGGGTAGTCATGTGTAGTACAATACAGCTATACTGACACATTTTGGATTAGTGGGCTGTGCAGCATTACTACAGTTTTAGAGAAACCTATTAGTCATTTAGTGACATTTTCACTTGTGTCAGAAGAGACATATCTAACCATGCATAACTTGAGAGCATTAGCAGCCTTTAAATTTCCTGCAAGTTGCTAGCCAGAGACTACTGAGTTGTGTTGAGGACATGTCAAAATCTGATGATGGTAGCCCAAATTGACTAGCAGCATTTGAGGGGTATAATTCTGAACCAGTGCTTAAATTTTGCGTCAATTGAAAGGGAATAAAACTGTCAGAAAATGTAAACATCTTCATCTCGTTCGATCAAACTGGCTACAAACTTGGAGGACTAGTGAAATAATGTGTACTAAAGTACTCACGGAAATGAAAAAAAACCTGTTTTTTCGACCTCAGATCTTAAATAAATGCAGTTAATATACAAAATATGTAAATATTCAAACAACTCAATTAGTACTAATTGGGCCTTGGCACAAATACAGCGTATCAAAGGTTTTTATGCCTTTTTACAAGTAAAAGTGTGTAAAAATGTGAATAAAACAGACTATTGTGAAACAGGGCATAACCAGGTGTAAATAGATCAAGGTGAATGTCCATGACCTATGACACCTTGACGACAGGTGAGAAGAGGTGCATAATGCCTATAGTCTGTTTCTGCTATGTCAATTTGGACTTAGTTTTATTTTTGAATGTTGAAAGTGACAACAAATTACCTCCTGTAAAGTACATTTTGTATTGTTCACTGAGATCAAACTAGCAAATCCAGTCTAGTACTTTTCGAGTTGTTTTGTTATTTCGTATTTACAGCGACGTAACACTTTGTGTCGATTTTTAAATTGAGAAAAACAGTTTTTTTCCATTTCCGTGAGTACTTTAGTCCTCAAGATTAGATGGATCTGGTTGATGTTATGCTGTAAGTCATGGTTCATCATTTGTTAGTGTTGTAGCATACTACAGTACAGTTGTTTGTTGTGTTTCAGATATTACAACAGGTAAAGCTACTCCTGACAGAGCTCTGTTCCCTCCACGACATCCCTGTACCAGAGGAGATTGCCTTTATTGACAGTGCTTTAGTCAACCGGGTAGGTCCTTTAGAGTAGCCATAAAGTTGTCCGGTACCTCATGTTTATCTCCAAGGGGGGATTCTGGTGCAGAGGTTATACCCCTATTTTGAAAGTGTAAAAGATTGTAATGAAATCTGAAACCCTGAAAACACTCAACCTCTGCAGTGAAATTACAGGCGTATAAGAGCTACTGTTGTTGTATTTTTTTGTTTGTTTAAGATCCGGGTTAGAATAGGTCTTCAGCAACCCATGCTTGTCGTAAGAGGCGACTAACGGGATCAGGTGGTCAGGCTCACTGACTTGGTTGATGCATGTCATCGATCCCAATTGCGTGGATCGATGCTCATGATATCAATCACTGGATTGTCTGGTCCAGACTCAATTATTTACAGACCGCTGTCATATAGCTGGAATATTGCTGAGTGCGGCGTAAAACAAACCAACCAAATCATGCATGACAAATGGGATGGTATGTCATTCACGTGATCATGAGGAGTCATGGTATTGAACTGAAATACTTTCAAAGTGGCATTTAACTCACTCACTCACTGTTTCAGGGACAACCAGTGCGAGACCGCCATGAGAGCTCTGAAGAAGAGGATGAAGATGAATTCCACTATGACATGGAAGATGATGCTCAAAGGTAGGGAAGAACTACCAAGGGATGATCTTCATTTATTCCAACTATGAGATAAATCCAATGAAACTGTGTTTGAATGCACCAGGCTATAACTGACAAGTTTTTGTGTGCCTGAGGAATGTACAGTCAAACCCTGTTGTGTTGACGTTGACAGTACCTACATAAGTACTTCATGTTGTCCGAGGCTCCAAAGAACCGAAAGAGAAAGCAGGGACCAAGCTTTAACTTCGAGACAACCAAAGTTTGACACATCTAATTCTGATACAACAGTGTTTGACTGTTTAGTAGAAAGATAAGTTATTGTGTCTATGGCATATTTGCTCACATGGCAATGGTAGTGGTGGTGGTGGTGATGGTGATGATGATGGTGATGATGGTGATGATGATGATGATGATGATGTGATGGTGATGATGGTGGTGATGATGATGATGATGATGATGATGATGATTGTTCCAGCAGTGATCAGAAGGCCAAAGAGGAAATAGATGGAATTGACACGGAAAACCTGGCTGTCCTGGAACGGCTGAAACAGAACCAACGTCTGTCTTACCTAAAGGTAGTTAGTCTCTCATAGTGTCTAGACTAGGACCTACATCATGTACATAACGGGAAAATCACCAGTACCTCATCCATATATGGCATGAAAATTGATAGTCAATGACTAGGAGTGATTGGTTAAAAATATTGTTAAATGGGATTGGGCATCAAATACTCAATAACAACAGCAAATCTGAAATGTTTATAGCCTAACTGGGGATTGGTTGGACAAGGCAGCAGAAGTAGGTCTTTACTGGAATAGGTGATCACCACTATTGACCAACACGCACAGCTTTTATTTTGTGTCAAATAACTAGTGTGGTTTTGGTGCTTAAACTGTCAGCCCTTGGTGTGCGGTCCAGGCCAGATCTATTTGAAATACACACTGAGAACAGACACTCACCCATCTCCCAATACAGTTTGGCAATTACTCTGGTCAGGCTCATCGAATGATAAACCTATAACCTTCATCAACTGTAATCCAATCATGTTATATCTATAGGAAGAAACAACTTGGGCCAGTACAACATGTTATTTCTTGCTTAGCAGAACAGTCTTCCCTGCCATTTCCAAAAATGGAAGAAATAGGTACATTAATAATGCTTTGTTTGATACTTTTCTGATATTTTTTTCATTTGCACACTTGCACACTTTTTTTCCAAAAAACACAGCTGTGTAGAAGGGGGGTGCGCATTATACACGAAATAATGAGTTGTGATGTTTTTTTCCCCCATGGAAAGATATTAACGTGAGCACATAACACCGGAAATACCATGTCAACAAATCCATACTGAAGTATGCAAATTAATCATGAAATTACACTGTCTGACTCTAAAAAGTGTTCTTTGTATATCTGGACTTATGTATGTAACTTATTTCATTAATTTTATTCAAAATTCCTTTTAATATTGTTTTAATTAATTTCGGCGAAATCGTGTGTGAAGCGATCGGAAGATCGCACAACTGACTGTTAGCAACCACGGTCAGATTACCGCTATTGACGCCTTGAAACGAACATTAGTTGACAGAGAATGGATACATATATCATAAATGCCATACTTTGACTTGTTTAAAGTCATATTTGTTATAGTTTGACGATTCTATGTCAACACGTAGTTCTTGCGATCATGCGATCATGCGATCAAGTGCGCGGGACCCTTGACGGTGACTAGTCAGACTGGTTCCATGTAAAAAATAATAACCGGCAATAGCGATCAGCTGCTTCATTTAGCGTTATTATTATTTAAAATATGTTTAGTAAAAGCTGCAGCTAAATTAACAAAATATTGGGATATATTATTCCTGATAAAAAAAAGTTTCAGATACAATTTTTGCCGATCCTTGCATTAAAATCCTGTAAAGTTATATCATTGGGTGTGTCTTGACCGAATCACCGGTAGATTCTAAGAAAACGTGTGTACAGCTGATTGCTGTTTCCGGCTTAGTTTACGAGAAAATACACAAGGTAATCTTAATCCCTGGATGTAAAACAATGCCTAGCAGAACAAAAATACAATTTAAACGGTAAATAAACATGTCTGGTGATTTTTTTTATATCAAATTTCGAATTTGTACTGACCAAGTTTCTCGTCACCCGTTTGTTGACTGGAATTCGCTGAAGGGGTAGATCTACGGTGTAATTTTTTTCTGCACTTGACATTCAAATTTTTTCTCTCCAAAATACTGACTCCCCTGAGGGGGGTGCGCATTATACATGGGTGCACACTATACTCAAGAAAATACGGTAATTATCATCCCAAACAGGCTTCAACGGGAGATATTGCTTGGGTTATGTGAAGTGGTATCTCCTAACTGAGATCGCTACAGTGAAGTTGAACCACAATGCTTTGTATCTGATCTCTCTGCTACTGAAGTTGGTTAACAGTACTTTTTACACTAAGAACCCTGAGTACAACTGTTTACAAACTGAGAAAGCTGGAAGAATGATTTTGGATGATAAATTAAATCTCTTACGCTCTATGCAGGGATGGATCTCTTTCTGGTGAAATTCTCTTTTTACTGAATGCTGTAAATCTGATTGTATGGTGTTTTACATTCTATGCAGGGATCAGTTACTAGTAAAATTCTCTATATAGTGACTGCTTTGAATCTGATTGTATTATGTTTTACATTCTCAGCAGGGATCAGTGACTGGTTCAGTCCAGGCGACTGACAGGCTGATGAAGGAGCTACGAGACATATATAAATCTGAAAGCTTTAAAAGACGTAAGATATTGTATTTCACTTTACCAGTACCTTAATCATTAGAGCATACATTCAGTATTCAAAATTAAACATGAAAGTCAAGGGGTCCTGTCATAAGCCTAACGTTAGTGATCCTCAAAGACAAGAGGGCCACCTTAATTTCAAACACTAATTTCTTATAAAGATGTTACGGTTTGTACTTTAATGGTAACTGTGAGCTTATCACTACAATTTCAATGTCCAGACTCGATTATTTATACAGACCGTCATATAGCTGGAATAGTGCGGCATTAAACAACAAACAAGCAAACTTTTCAACTTTCTCTCTTGATTGAAAAATGTGTCATACATACACTGACTACTGGATTACATCTCTTTCAGAAATCTATACAGTAGACCTAGTCAATGATTGCCTATATGAATGGTGTGTCAAGTTAAAAAAGTAAGTCAACGAACCTTACAGAATCCTACAAGTGTGGGTAGTTGGTTGTAGGGATGTAACTGAAGAAAGACATGTTCTATGGATGAACAACTTCTTTATTACAATTAGTGCGACGTTTCGGTGTAGATCCTAACACCTTTATCAAGCAATGTACATGTCGCACTAATTGTAATAAAGAAGTTGTTCATCCATAGAACTTGTCTTTCTTCATCACACCAACTTCTAAATGCCACTGAAAGAAGGGGTGTAACTGTTCATCGAACTATCAATGCTTCTCCTACAGGACCATTGGACATGCTGCATTCAAATGCTTTCCTAACATCCTTTACAATGTTAGGTTTTGTTTTGAAAAAATGGCCACTATGGCTGTTTTCTGAAAAAAGGTGTGTGAAGGCGAGCTTCTGTAACTTTGGTACGCTGGTACTCTGTTTATATACAGAGAGGGAAATTTGTCTTGGCAGCCCTCTGTTGTCAATATTTACTACCTACCATCAAGTTCCTGTCACCAATTAGTGAATTACATATGGTTGTGTAGTTATTGATAATCAATGTACATGTTTTATAGGCGTTGCATGATGTAATAGCTGTCATTAACTTGCCATTGACAACAGTTTAAGGCCGAGTAATTTGGAGTATTTGTTTTTTTGTCCAAACATTGCTGACATGATACTTACAAAGTATGGGATACGGGGATGAAATTTAAAAATAAATGTAAGGAATGTGCTTGTTGGTTTGAGAGAAGTCAACAGAGTTACCTCCCTTTCCACATCTATCCACTTTGGCGATATTTTTGCTATTGCAGACCTTGTAAATGTGTGATGTCATTCCTCCTTTGTGAAATCCATGAAACAAATATGAAATGTGAAAATGTCTATACAGAGCAGTTCCAATGGCAGTTGCCACTTCTCTGTTGATGTCTGTCTGCTACAGTGGCACTGTGTTATGTTCACAGGGTTGATCAAGACAGTCCCCTTCACTCGGATCTTCAGACATACAAGGAGAAGGAGGGGAAGGATTTCATCCAGCTTTGTTTTACTTTCAAAGTAAATATGAATATTTACAGCTATAATTGAAATTTACCTCCAGAAATTTTCCTTTTTGTTCTTATGAATACCTGTTTTAGTATAAAATAATCTGATAAAGGTGAGCTTTTGTACTGGCGTTTGTGAAGTTAATTATTTGTCACTGAGTGCAACATTTTACACTTTCACCATTATTGAAATGATATTAAGCTGCCTCCGTGGTGTAGTAAATAGAGCGTCTTCACCAAAAGCAGGTTGGTGGTTCAAACCTGGCTTCCAAGAGATGTTAGATGATGGTACTTATGCTGCCTAACACTTGTTATTAAGGGGATAAAATTAACATTCTTGAAAAGGTCTTGAATTTTAAGGTCCCTTGAAAAGCTTTGATTTTTAGTGTCAACCTTGTAAAGCCTTGAAAATTCTTGAATTTGTACAAAATGACATATGCTTGTTAATCAAAGTATGAAGCACCCAAAAATGTGTACCAAAGATGTTCACTGGAGATTTACAGTGAATAGATTTGTGTGCCAAAGACCCTGAAGAATTCATAACAAACTTAATTATTTTTTTTGTCAGGTGAGAAATAAATCTTGTTGGAAATTGTGTGATGGTTATACTGCTTTTTAGGTCTAACGACTAGTATATAGGTTGCTGGATTTAATAAAATATTGACAGATTAAGGCTAATAACCCAACTAAAAGCCTTGAAATAAACAGTTGGCAGCCTTGAAAAAACCTTGAATTTTAGTGTTCCATGTCTGTATGAATCTTGAATAAGAACAGGCTGGCTCAGTATGATGTGTGGGAGTGGGATATTCATGTTAAACTACAGTATGATATCCAAGTGGGCTAGCCAAATGAAAACAGCACAAGTCTAGACTGTTAGAAGCAGCCACACATACACATGCATGCTCATCACTATATATGTACAAGTGAAATAATCTTCGACTCAACGTTAATCCCCATTTCACCTTGATTCACTAAATGATCATACATGTATTTACAAAATATAACAATGTACGTTTGATCACCAATTAGAATAATGCTCCACTGTTCAGCTGTCAAGAAGTTGACCATTTCTTTGTAGGATTCCTTTCCATTTGATCCTCCTTTTGTGAGAGTGGTGAATCCTGTCATATCCGGAGGCTATGTATTGGGTGGAGGAGCCATATGTATGGAGCTTCTTACAAAACAGGTAGGTGCCATGACATAGCTCAAGACCGCCTCCGTGGTCCTGTGGTAGAGCGTCCGCCCGGAGAGCGGAAGGTCCAGGGTTCGATCCCGGGCCGCGTCATACAAAAAGACGTTAAAAGATTGTACTTGTTGTTACCCTGTCTGGCGCTCGGCATTAAGGGGCTAAAACAAGGACTGGTCGGCTCGGAGTCAGTATACTGTGTCTGAGCGGGGTATCCATGTTAAACTGCAGCATGGTATCTCAGTGAGCTAGCACTATAAATCGGCATCAGTCCGGACTAGTACAAGCAGCCACACACACACATACACGTGCATGCACGTCGCTATATAAGTGCAATAATCTTGGACGCGACGTTAAACCCAATTTCACCTCACCTCACATAGCTCAACATGTGGATCTGTGCATCTACATAATGCTTGATTCCTGAAACCACTTCCATGAGGCAGATGGAGATTCTGTATAGATCCATGTCATGACTATGTCATACATAGTGAGTATGGGAAGAATGATGGCCATGCTATGTATGCTTTATAGACCTTGTATTCAATGTTAGGTATTAGGTGTCAATTTCTTTTAGAGTTATCTCCCTTTACTTGATGGTCAAGCAGTGTTTCAGGAGAAATCAAGTGTTTGATTTTCTGCCTCAGTATCAGAAATATAGTGCCAGGCCACTTACATCTCAAGTCTTCTTATATTTTATGTATTTGCACATTATAACAGTGACTGAATGCCTCCAGGTAATGACCATGTTGTCTGAGCTATACTCATTATTGTTTCTGTTTTGTTCAGGGTTGGAGTAGTGCATACAGTCTGGAGTCCGTCATATTGCAGATTTCAGCTACTTTAGTGAAAGGAAAAGCCCGCATTACGTTCAGTGCTTCAAAGGTTTGTCCTCATTTGCAGTGTCTTAGTGGTGAAAGTAGATGCCTTTGTCATTTTGGTCTAGCGATCAAGTCCCTTACCCATGCTAACCGTATTGCGCTCATAGTAACAGGATATGTATTGTATCCCACCCCCACCAAGTAGATACCTTTGTCATTTTGGTCTAACGATCAAGTCCCTTACCCATGTTAACCGTATTGCGCTCATAGTAACGGGATATGTATTGTATCCAAACCCCACCAAGTAGATGCCTTTGTCATTTTGGTCTAGCGATCAAGTCCCTTACCCATGTTAACCCTATTGCGCTCATAGTAATGGGATATGTATTGTATCCCACCCCCACCAAGTAGATGCCTTTGTCATTTTGGTCTAGCGATCAAGTCTCTTACCCATGTTAACTGTATTGCGCTCATAGTAATGGGATATGTATTGTATCCCACCCCCACCAAGTAGATGCCTTTGTCATTTTGGTCTAACGATCAAGTCCCTTACCCATGTTAACCGTATTGCGCTCATAGTAACGGGATATGTATTGTATCCAAACCCCACCAAGTAGATGCCTTTGTCATTTTGGTCTAGCGATCAAGTCCCTTACCCATGTTAACCGTATTGCGCTCATAGTAACGGGATATGTATTGTATCCAAACCCCACCAAGTAGATGCCTTTGTCATTTTGGTCTAGCGATCAAGTCCCTTACCCATGTTAACCCTATTGCGCTCATAGTAATGGGATATGTATTGTATCCCACCCCCACCAAGTAGATGCCTTTGTCATTTTGGTCTAGCGATCAAGTCTCTTACCCATGTTAACTGTATTGCGCTCATAGTAACGGGATATGTATTGTATCCAAACCCCACCATATCGTTACACCTCTTTGTTACTGGTGCAATGGTCAAAGTAACTAAATGATGCCAGTTTTTCAGCTTCATCAAGTTTTGACAAGACATCTCCATAGAGAGAGGAGTGTGATGACAAAGTGTTGACAGTAATAGACACAGATATCACTTCAGATATCAAGTGTTGACTAAGTAAGAATGTGACCCCATGGGGATTCCAGGTTAGAAGTGTTCCCCAGCAACCTACACCGGTCATAAGAAGCCACCAATTGGATCGGTTGGTCAGATTCGGTGACTTCGTTTATGACGGCCTGGATCGTTGTTCATAATATCTATCACTGGATTGTCTTGTCCAGACTCAATTATTTACAGGTCTATGCCATATAGCTGGAATATTGCAGAGTGTGGCATAAAACAACAAACAAATGAACAAAAAAGCTTATGAAGTGTAAATTCAAAGAAAAGGCAAGCACATGATACCATGAGAACCAATTACTGGGATATCCGATTCATGATTGAGGGGTCATGCAGATAGTAAGAGAAAACAGCACATTTCCAACTCTGAAAATGCAGTTCAGTTTTATACCCACATTGACTTACTTGTCACATATTGCATGTATATGGGCTAAACCCACTGGTTGCGTTCATACGTGTGTTTTTGGTAGCTTTTTCCGTCACCTCCTTGCATTGTTCATTGTTTTTAATAGCCATTGGCCATTTTTCCAGTTTCATGAAAGCATGAGTGACATAGCATAAACATGATGTTCTTCACATTGTCTACATAACCAGACCTGTTGATGCTCGTTGGCAGCATATGTTCATGTTTGACACCCAAGGATAAATAAAATAATTGTCTTGGTTCTCAGGCACTGCCCGCATCATCATTAAGTTCCACAACATTTCATTTTCGGTTTGAAATTTGAAAAAAAAATCCTTTAATATTCCATGTCAAACTGTAGTCAAATACTGTATTCCAGTAATTTACAACTGAAGGAATACATTTATGTAGGGAGGTTGATTGTACACATTGTTTATTTGGTTACATTCTAGTATGAACATCCCCACCCCTCACCCCCCCCAAAAGATTACTCGTCCCCGCACTATATTTTCAAAAACCATTGCCTGAGAACCAGTTCTTTTCTTGTTGAGCCGTACATACAAGTGACCTTCAATAATGACACGGAGTACAGAATGTCATGTTTGAGTGTTGTATCTGAGTTTGAATGTGAATGACAGATTTCTTGTTTTCGTTTCTTACAGACCCAGTACAGTTTGGCCAGAGCACAACAGTCTTTCAAATCACTTGTACAGATACATGAAAAAAATGGTATGTATATGTCAGGATGTGATCCACAAAAAGACTGAATGTCTGGTAGGACTGTGTATGGTGTGTTTCATCAAAGAAGGGAACCTTCATAGTCATTTTCTTTGTCTCATGGACTAAAAGATGATGTGAGGCAGGGATTTGGGTAGGCAGCAGGGATGAACATCTACTGATTAATGATGGCCTTATGAAGAAATTCCTAAAGTGTACTGGACAAAAAATGTAGGTCATTATTTTGGGGGATATCCACTACGAAATATTTTCATGATCCCTAACTTTCTTTTTTTTTTGCTGTTCATTATTCAGCACAGATTGGTATGGGAAGGGACTTTTTGAGTGCCATTCCAAGGAAACTATCAATCTCATTGAAATCAGATCTTATGGTTCGCTACCACTACACGAAGATCTGATGACATCCCATTAAGGTCATGTCCGAACGTGAAGTGTGACTTTGTTTGAAATTTACCTTACGAAATTTTTTCACCCAACAGTGTTTGGATGGGTTCATGGTAATACCTTCTCCTGCCTTAAAAAGCAGCTCGGCATAAGCATGAAAGTATTCAACACTTATTGATCCTTTTCATAAGGCATTCTTTCTTTGCAGGTTGGTTTACACCACCGAAAGAAGACGGCTAGGTGACGATGCTTCACTCACAAGTGCTTTGCTGTTATTGCGATGTCATCAACTTGATAAGAGAGGACTTAATGATGACACATAATAAACAATATACACATGTTGTGCTATTGGGGATTAATGCAAGCTGTCTGACAACTTCCAGATGTACTGAGCTCTTCCTGCAGCATCAGATTGGACTTCAGCCCAACGTTGGGAGACTGCTCCCATGATCAGGCAGTCATACTGAATAACCCTTAGATGCCACAACTGCATAGGATCAGCCTGGTCCTTCTTTGTTCATAGTTCACACTTTGTATGCTTTAGTTCATTTTCTGTCTGTATACCATGGATACTTTTTGCAATAGGATGCTTTCAACTGGTACTCTGTTCACATCGACAATAATGCTGCAGCCTTTTCTCACTGCAATTTCATTTTGTCTTTATTATCCAAATTTCATCATTGCATTTTGTAGAATTTTCTTTTTGTTGCCTCGGTAATCAGTGTCATTTTGTTTTGATGATTAGTTTCTTGTTCTAGGCCCTCCCCCCAAAAGAAAACAATTGCAGGTTTGAGAAGGTACAGTTCAACAGCGTCTAGCCGATCTGTTGATAACGAGAATGGGTAGAGAAGGACATATTTACAACTGTTGAAGCAATCAGAATTGTGCTATGTGGGTTATCCTGAGATCTTTCTGTTTATTTATGAGTGTTATTCAACATTTACAAAGTTTGATGTTGGTTGATCATGATCTGCCTCGACAAAGTGTTCACAAGTTCCTTGGAACTAGCAATGTCTCCAGACACAGACAGCAGTCTCTACAATCCGGACAAGAGGTCAGTGATGACCGACCCCATATTGAAACAGCTTTGGAGGTGTTCTCTAGCCATAGCTATCTGATTGCATATACAGCACGTGGCAGACAGTTGCATCTCAGCAAGTGTGTACAGGCGTTATATGCAACTCTTACACAGGGATTCTGGGATTATTTTGTAGTGTATGTGGTGTGAGGGATTAAACAGACGTCATGGACGATGCCGTTTGACCATCTCGTGGGACTTCACTCCCTCAGTACATGCTTTTAGAGGAGATTCTCACACAATTATAATTATGTACAAATAACAAATATTGTACTCTGAACATGTCATCATCATCATCATCAAGTAAACTTCTGTATATGTTTAACCATTCATTGTTTGTGTTTCCATGGTTTCAACCTTGACCTTGACCAAGGTTCGTAACCACAGTTAACAAGTTAATGGAATGGGATAACAATACTAGGACCAGTCAGAATGATGTGATGGCGAATCTTGTCATGTATAAAGCGAGGATATGACCCAAACTGAGGATTTGGTACCCAACCTGTTGTGCAGATCGAGGATATGTCCCCAACCTGTGGTGCAGATCGAGGATATGTCCCCAACCTGTGGTGCAGATCGAGGATATGACCCCAACCTGTGGTGCAGATCGAGGATATGACCCTAACCTTTTGTGCAGATCGGGGATATGACCCCAACCTGTGGTGCAAAGCGAGGATATGACCCCAACCTGTGGTGCAAAGCGAGGATATTACCAAACCTGATATGTGCAAAGTGAGGCTATTACTGGAAACCTGTCATGTGTAAAGTCAGCAGTTGGTAATTGGAATGAATGGTATTGAAAAACATGGTTGCACAGTAGACTGAATCTGCTGATTCTCTGTCTGGTCTGTGTTCTGGGGCTAGGTTTTCGCAGATTCAAGTACAAATAATCTAATTCAGCATGGAATTAGGTAGCCAGCAACATCAAAGACACATTCACTTAGTACTTAGCCGTCTAGACAGACACAAGAACCAGACTATGGAGAAATATTAAGCTTGAATTATACTGTCCGACATTCATTAGTGTTGTAGGATCTGTCAAAATGGAGTGTACTTTACATCAAGTCTTTTTCATTGCCAAAATCATCGACAAAAGTCCTGTAACAGCACAAGTTAATTAAGTTAATCTGAGCTAGATGTGACTGATTAACATCCGACAATGATCCACAACTTTTAATTCTTATCTTCAAGAGCGTTCACATGGTTCAGCCATGAGGAGTCGATATAACAATACTTACCGTATTAGACTCCAGAGACCATTTAATAGAGACTTAACATTTTGTTTATTTATTTTTTTAATGAAAATGTTTTTTAATGTATAATAGAAAGGAGTCGAGAGAATATCTTCATGCCAAATTCAGGGATACATCTTTGCACTGGCCAACTTGTTGAGTGTGGTTGTCTTGTATTCAAGGTATCCTGTGGTTCAGTTGAATTTCAGACTTTTTAAAGGGGTGTCCCTATGTTATCCCAACAAGGGCTGGTAAATATGTTAGGTTACTTTGCATTCCTAAAACTAAGCTACACTTCGGGTCTATATGAGAGACTAACAGTGACAATCATTGGGAAAAGTATTGTGACACTCCCGGGCTAAACGCGAAGTGCAGGTACTTAAACTAAATAAACATCCTGATATGATTCCATCATTAATATTTCGAACAATATTGAAAAAAGTACGAATGATGGCTACGCTTTCAGGTGTAATGGCAGGGGTGACATATCACAACATGCCAACCTGCTTCCCTGTGTATGTCGCACTGGCAATACTGACGGTGTGGCGCCACCGCAGCATACCCATGGAACCAGGCTGCACAACATGTATGAAATTGACAGGGACTTCAGGAACTATTTTTGTGTTGAGCTGCGGTTACCGTATCCCCTCGTTTAATGTCTGTTTTTCAACTGCTGTGAGTTACAGATCGTCCTTAGAAACATCTGCCAAATGCGCAGTAGGATTTACAGCCCCCATCTACATATCTGACTGGCTACAAATATTACATTATTTATGAATATTCATACCGATCCCTTACCTCTGAATAGGTATACTTTATCTCAGAATGTGAACGTTGAAAGGGGATTCTAGATTGGAACCTGGTGTTTTCGAGGAGGGCGCTATCCAATGTGGAATCCTTTTTCAATGCTTTCAATTGGTAACCGCAGCTATATTTGTGCTATGCGTGTCTCGGAGTTCTGTGTTGCTGGGTGTGGTGTATTTGGGAGAGAGTGTACAACTATGACGTGATTAACGTTTTCAGTGGAAGCAGGTGTGCATTACCATTGTACCATTGTTTGTTGTACATACATGAAACAATCAAGATTGTGTTGCGAGTTTTGATTCGTGACTGATTTGAGAATATTGAATAAATTATAGTCACTTTCATAGTTGTTGAACTAGCTAAAAAATAGTCACGCTTTCTCGTGATGTAACTTGAGAATTTACCTTAAGTTTCGTTAACTATACAACTGGTCATAACATGTATGTAGAACCTTTCCTTGTGTATGTCTGGAATCGGGTTTACATTAATCACATACTGTCGTAATGATCTAATAGTCGTTTGTGTTTACTGGACATAGGGCACATTTCGACAAGTAATGATGAAATGGGTACAAAGTCGATAGTTTGCTCCTCGAACAACACACAAAGAAGGTTTTCACCCCACTTTATGTGCAGTATATCCAAACTGTGATCTTTATCTGATTATTTGTTATCTAAGGACCGCTTCCGTGGTCTAATGGTAGAGCGTCCGCCCGGAGAGCCGAAGGTCCGGGGTTCGATCCCCGGCCGCGTCATACCAAAAGACGTTAAAAGATGGTACTTGTTGTTACCCTGTCTGGCGCTCGGCATTAAGGGGCTAAAACAAGGACTGGTCGGCTCGGAGTCAGTATACTGTGTCTGAGTTGGGTATTCATGTTAAACTGCGGCATGGTATCTCAGTGGGCTAGCACTATAAATCGGCATCAGTCCGGACTAGTACAAGCAGCCACACAAACACACACACGTACATGCACGTCGCTATATAAGTGCAATAATCTTGGACGCGACGTTAAACCCCATTTCACCTCACCTCACCTCTTGTTGAATCCAACAAGGTACTTGGTTGCACTTACAATTGACACCCGTGGTGTTTCCGGGTTAGGATAGATCCCAGCAAGTTATGCCGATCGTACGAGGCGACCAAATGGATCGGGTGGCACGCTCCGTGTCTTGGCTGATACAACGATGTGGATCGTTGTTCACAATATCAATCAAGTCAAGTCCAGGTGAAGTTCATATAGATTCATGCATTATTATTTCATATTTGTTTTAATAGCATACCTCAGCTACCACTGTCCCTTTTGTGAAACTTATTGTTCCCCACCACGAAGTGCGGCGGGGGACATAGGAACGGAGTTCGTCCGTCCGTCCGTCCGTCCGCTTCTCAAAGTAGAGAAATGAAATTTTACACACTGATGTTACTGGCCTTGATCTCAAATGTTTTGAAAAACTGGTGTAAATTCATTTTTTACAAAGTTATTGGCCTTGCTCCGTGCTTTTCAACTTTGTGCATACTGCGTGAAATAGGGACAAGCTTTCTCAGAAATTAATTGATCAGTGTTATGTTACTTTGTGCATGTGCTGAAGTTAGCTTATCTAAGAGACACCTTTTAAGACTGAGTTATGAAGGGACATCTTGTGCGTATTAATTTCAAATTTAATCATTTTTTCTGAGGACATAACGCGGCCCTTTATAGGACTCTTTTTTTATAGTTAATATTCACTACTATATGACACCCGTGACGATCCGGGGTAGAATAGGTCTTTAGCAACCCATGCTTGCCGTAAAAGTCGACTGTGTTTGTCATAAGAGGCGACTAACGGGATCGGGTGGTCAGGCTCGCTGACTTGATTGATGCATGTCATCGATCCCAATTGCGTGGATCAATGCTCATGATGTCAATCACTGGATTGTCTGGTCCAGACTGGATTATTTACAGACCGCCGTCATATAGCTGGACTATTGCTGAGTGTGGCGTTAAACAATAAACAAACACTACTATATGAACCAACAAAATTCTAATTCTAAAGTACTGTCGGAAATGCTAGAAAATTGATTTTTGACTGTTGCAAAAGATGATTATTTCTCACAGACTACTGTTATAGAAATATCGAGTAACTATCGATCGACCTACCAGCGGTTTGAAGTATTTCAGTCACAAGGAGTTCTATCGACAACTTTACAGGAGACAAATTCGAACGAAAACAGGAAGTCCAATGATGGCAGTCTGAAACGGACTATAGAAATATGCGCACGTGACTCCGTTATAATGATAATAATGTAGTCTTCATAAACATCTAATCAACTCACAAAAATCATTTGGAGAAAATTCTAGATGTGCATCTTCTAAAATGACAAAATGACGCTGCGTTTGTTTTGTTAACATTGCTCCCATGAAGCAAGTTACATTACACTTGCATGCATAGCCATTTTACACGACATGGAGTCTGTGCTGGGAAATGTATACACGTTCTTTATACTTAAGAGAGATAAAGGGGAAACCATTTATTAATTTAGATAGGGTGAATTAACTGACTGCCCAAGCTATGGGGTTTTCAATTCATACCATGAAGTCTACGGTATGATAAATAAAACAAAACAGGTATATGGGGTGGTCTCATAAAACAAACTGGGAAGTAAAAGGGTATTGGGCAACTTTGATATAGGGTGATTAGGCGTATAGTGTACACGCCTTTGTGAGCAGAAGGCAACCCTTACTTGTAGCAGAATTTGGGAGGAAATTAAATATACAATTAATGTTTCCCGGACTACATTGACTTGCTCTCCAAGAGATGAGATTTCGATACACTGCGCATGGCGATGACCGAGCAGTCTTCCGGGGAAAATATTCCATCCTGTCCATGAGGTCACATTATCTCCGGACCATTCATAACTATCACAGTCAGGGCATCCAGATAATGTACCTTGAATCATTCCACTGACTACATGTGGCTATCGGCAAATGGACAAAAAACACCCATGGTACCATCAGATAAAGGTAATCGTGTCATTGTTTTCACGCCGAAAGCCATAATATGGGGCTAATCGATGAATGTGTGCTAGTTTCCGAGGCGAAAAGGAAAACCGGTGATTTTCATAAGGAAGTTCTAGGAGGTGATGTGTTCATAGACTGGATGGAACTTCAGCTATTGTCCATTTTAAACACCGTAAGTGTCATTGTCATGGATAACGCCGGTTAATATAACGTCCAGGAATCAGAGACTGTCGCCCCAACCATGAGTCGTCTGAAGGCGACCATACAGGAATATATGACATCGTCGACTTCAGACCATATAAAACGATAGTTAAACTCCTGGAGAAAATTCGTCTGAATAAGAAACCAGTAAAGTACAAGACATATGTGCTGGCGGCACAACATGGTCATGTTGTCTAACGTACGCTTATCAGATATTGTGAGCTTAACCCTGTTGTGCCTATCTTGGCTAAGATATAACAAGACATTCAAAAGTACAGATTCACATACGTCATCAGCGGAAATAAATGCTACCCCAAGAAACCATCTGTAGAACAACAAATACTTCTTGATTCCAAAACCGCAACCTTCCAATACTCATCCCGTTTCATAGCTCTTAACTATTCCATCATGTTCCCAAGCAAATATAATGCAGTACATATCCTAAATTGCTCATGTCAATTAAGCACAGACCCGTGAAGATTCCGGGGTAGAAAAGGTCTTCAGCAACCCATACTTGCCGCAAAAGGTGACTTGTCGTAAAAGGCGACTAACGGGATCGGGTGGTCAGGCTCGCTGACTTGGTTGATGCATGTCATCAATCCCAATTGCGTGGATCGATGCTCATGATATTAATCACTGGATTGTCTGGTCCAGACTGGATTATTTACAGACCGCTGTCATATAGATGGAATATTGCTGAGTGCGGCGTTAAACAACAACAAAAAAAAAAAATCAATTAAGCACAAACGGCACTATGTTGAGACCACCCCTAACTCTGTGACATTTGCACCTGTGAGAATGCACGGGTCGGTGTGAGGTCATAACTTTGGGGCGGGTGTTCGGTAATTACCTCAGGTTATAGGCCGGTTCATACATGCATGACAACACACGATGATTTTCTAAGTTTATCATCATTTTACCTGTAAAAGTACATTTTGGGAATACAGAAAAACATTTTTCTAGCATTTCCGACAGTGCTTTAATAATTATTATATTTAAGATACTTGATCGAAGATCAGACACAGTGAACTTCGCTATTACATGTGTTCATACACTCTAAAGTCTTGTCTGTACATATGAAACAATGTTGTATTCCGATTTCTTGTGCACTCCGCCGATAATGGATGAGCAAAGAGAGTTTTATCCTTTTTTTCTGAGCACAACACAAAGCAAAGAATTAAGGATTGTGTGGAATAAAAATTGCCTTGTTACCTTATACAGGCACGAATATGGATTAAAAGGTACAAAAATTAGGAAGGATGGTCTCGTGACCTTTAGATTTAACGCCGCAATGAGCAATATTTCAGCTATATTGAAGGCGGCATTGAAATAATCTAGTTTTGACCAGACAATCCCGTGATCTATGAAGAACGATCCACGTTAACCGGGAACGATGACGCGGTCAACCAAAGTCACCGAGCCTGGCCCCAGGATCGGCATCTACGACCAGCATGGGCTGCTGGGTCCTTATTCTAACCAGGAATCTCCACTTCCGGAAAACACATGATATTTAACTTCTCGACGTGTCTGCCATCCATTCGTCATTAACAGTTCGACTTCATCTGAAGGTTCCCGTCGTTGAAGTCGGTGATTTAGTGATTTTTGTCCGTTATAGTGATAAACCCGCATAAAACCTAAGTGTTTTTGTGTGTGCTTCAAGCAATATGTAGACACCAACAGTATTCGCCCAGACCTCGGTCAGTTTGTTTCAAACGTGTAAATATCTCGAGTATTCGTCTATCAATATCACTATTATTATATTACTAACCTGAGAAATCCTAGCAGGAAACGTTGGTGTCTTCAAACACCCTTTGAGACAATGCGTCGAACTGTATTAGTTGTCTAGCTGTCGGACGCGCCAACCATTTGGCCAACCAGTCCTTGTAGAATATAACACGAACACCGTATCATAACAATGACTTTATTCTAACAACCTGTTTGACATATTTCTGCAAAACACAACATGGATTTCAAGAACAATCAAATGTAACACAGCATTAGCTGCCTGAAAGGCCCATTACTTCCCACGGTTCTCGCGACGTCAAGTCACGCTGTTGCAGTAAGCAATCTAGTAAAAGCATTAACCGGTATTCATTCTACAAGGTGCTGGGGATATTTTCGAAAAAAACATAATACACCCAGTGAAAAAAACCCTGACAAAATAACTTTGCACATAAGATAAAATTTAATTAAAACAATTGGTACGTCACTGCAGGGGAACGAAACGTCGGTTTTTTTGTATGGTCAACGATATCCCACCCCACTGGAGATGGTTCTAAAGGAACAATAAAATATATAGGAAGGTTGCTTCTACGATCCCAATCCAGTCAATGACATATTGGATAATAGATTATTAAAATATGTAATCGTGATATATTTTATCGTTTTGGGATCATTTGTATCAAGTGGGGTTAATCAAAGTATGTTTGATGCAAAAAGGCATCATGCAGGGTCAATGTCTGTAACTGCCTGTCAGGAGGTTGGTATTTTGGAATTTCCATCGTCAATAGGTTTTGTGTACACTACGTTCTTCCATGACACGGTATGGTTCAAGCGACAAGGAAACCAACGTGTGCTTAGACCAATGAGCGCTCAGACTACATCACACAAACTTCTATCTCGCTGCATCACGTGCCATAATCCGTGCAGCTGTCTGCTCTACACATTGCTTCATGGTAGGGTTCGCACGAAATGAGTGTACGGAGTAGGGCTCATTTGACTTCCGCGAGTTTTTGACGGCTATGTTTCATTAGTTGACTGAAAATGGTACCGCAATGTGGTCGATATAATTACGGGTGATGGAGGAACTTGTATACAAACCCGTGAAGCATTCACGATGGAGAGCTTCGTTCTGTATACAAATTAGGTATTTTATTATCGGCACTTATATCATAATTGGATAAGATCTTTGGTAAGAGTGGGAACATGTCCTTGTGAATTCCTGGGATTAACAGAATAACAGTTTATTTCTATGCCTATTATACATGAGGCGTGGAGGAGGCATGGACGACCTAGGGTCAAAGGCACCTCAACACACAGTGAAGAATCGTGCACCTTGGCAGTCCCAGGCTCGCTCCAAATATGTAACCAGCACCCGTGGAATTCATAAAAATGGTATCCGGACGACCAGCGTCATTCTAAACTTCAGCTGACATCATGTAGTATATTACTGAAATTATGTACAATGATTAAAACCAAAATCAGCTAAGTTTGATGATCCTTAAAAATCCGTTGAAATCTGAATCCTCTTTTCATAATGTTCACTTTATCTTTCTTAAAAATATGAAACTGAAATACTGTTCAAAGCTGCGTTATATCTGGTGCTTTTGGGTGTGTATTTGACTTATTAGAGGGTGTGGTTGACCGACATATATAAGTCAATGAAAGACCTGCCCATGGCTCTAATACCAGCATGACGATAGACATTGACAGCGAGCAACACAATCCCCCAATATTGAAATAACGAAATGAACAAAATAAATACACGTTTTTATAGAATGTTATTTCGAAGAACAAATACAGCTCGACTGGAATTAAGCAGTGCCCTTTTAATTAATAGTCACTGAATTTACAAAATTATATAAACGTAGACCGAGATCTGTTTTTTCGATGATGTTTTCCGAATGCAAAAAAACCCCTTCTGGAAACACATTTTAAAACCCCCTTTTAACAATATTTCCTTTTGTGTTGTTGCATTTTGTATGTTTTCTTGTTTAATGTAATTAAAACATTATTTATATGTTATTTGTATAATTTACAACGTATCAATGCATTAATTTATCCGGCTATTCGTACTGAAGTATGGTCAATATCAGCGTATTATAACTGCTGTCATTTTGGCACAATGTCCTGTCATGATAAAACATCATGTAATGTCTTAGGAGAAACTATGTAATCACTATAATTCACTATGTACAGATATATGGCTATATGGTGTGAAAATGCCGTGCAGTAAGGCCTCGTCAGTCTATGACAATACGGTCCACATACTTCCCCCTTTCAAACTATACAAGGCATATATGTACATTCCAACAAGGTACAAATCGAACACTTCTCTTATCAATCAGTCACTGAGTGTTCACACTCCACGTTCTGGTGTTGTTCCCCAAAGCGATCTTCGCACTACGACTGCCATGATACGGAATGGAGTTGCTGTCGTCTCAGTGCAAAAATCTTTTTGTGGAAAGGGACCAACTAATTTTGAAATATGTTAATTTTATTGGCAAAATGCGTACAGGATAGGCAAGTAATGCTGTATCGGAATAATTTAATAACATATAATCTTGACCAAATTTCACGGTCCAGTCACAGGACTTTTTACCGAAATGTATGCATATTCATGGTCCAAACCAGTGGCCCCGGAGAGTGGTTTGATCCATGAATATGCATGGTTTTCACTAAAAGGCCGTGTGATCTAGTGTCATAGCAGAACGTTTTGTAATATACCCCGTGTATGGTATTTTATTCAGGAAATATCAAAAGATCAATATCATTAAAACCAGATCTAAGTTCTAACAAAGGCCTGAGGACATCCCATTACGGCCTTCCGCAAAATTTGACCGACCACTGAAATGACTAACAAGAAGTCAATATCAGCCAAATAGAAAGCAGCTTTCTCGAGCTTTACGGCATTCGTTTCAACCTGGCGACTCCATTTCCATCTTCCCAGGGCAAGTGAGTAAACTGACTACAAAAGTCCAGTTTCCACCCTTGCCGAACTAGGCTGGTATTATGGAGTTACAATTTGGCTGGACTAACGAGTCTATGCATAATCCAATTAAAATCGCGCAACGAAATCGAAATCCGGTTCGTAAACGGTCATGCAGATTTCGGTCGATTGCAGGATTTGCAAAGCATGTGCACTGCTAACTCGTTGTCATCAGATATTTTCTAAATCTTTTCATATTTTTAATCAAGGTGCTCACGTGATTTGATGCACTTCGCGATGTAAGACCCGTTTGATCACAATACAGATCTTGATTATCGATCAACTCGTCTTGGCTCGGCCCTAACCCTAACCCTGACGAGAGATTGAATCTGATTGGGCCATAGGAAAGACATAGAAGGGACATAACTCGTAATAGCCACTTGTGGCGCTACCATCGAGCCTAGGAATTCCAGTCTAGTTCGGCAAGGGTGGAAACTGGACTTTTAAAGTCAGTTAACTCTCTTGATCCGGGAAGATGCTCCATTTCAGACTACGATTGAAAAATATGTTGACACAGTTCTGGATTAAAATTTTGAAAACTGAACAAAAGAACATTCCGAAAGGTCTAATATATGGTTGAGATAGTATGGCAGTGTTTCCCACGTACTTAGCGATGGCGAGAACTAAGATCTGATTTTAATTAGCTTGATCAAATGATATAATTGCAAACATAATAATCTTTATCACAAATTGCCTCAATGCATATATTGCCAGGGCATTCGTCACCACTTGCCCCTTTCCGTAACCTGCAAGAAGACTCGTCCCCCTATCGATGAATGTTATGTGCGAAAATACGACAAACCAATCAGAATGCGCGTATGATTTCAAGTACCTTGTCAAAGAATCCCTCAGAAATATTTTTTGATGTTACACATGTCTTGCATCTAAAAATATACTCAAGACACAGTTAAATGTGTTCAATCATACTGTATAATTCCGCAAGTCCCGATGTGCTTTAAATTTCTTCTGAAATATATATAATATATGGGGAAATATATGTGAACCATTACGCAACGAATTGACAATTGTTTTAGGTGTGCCCGTTTTCGCTAAGACGGAACCCGGTCGCAAAAATGGCCACGAGTGGGGCACGAGTCGCTATTCGGCTTGTCCCGGAATAACACGAGTTGGTCACGAATGATTGCCAGGGCTCGATTTAAGGAACTTGATTTAACTTGAACCAGATGCATGACAACCAAGGTGCACCAAATAAAGCCAGGTTGCCCCCGGGTCACACAATGGTATCAAAGTTGAAACATAGCAACCGGTCGGCAGCCATAGTCACATAACTTATTGCTGTAAAACGTAATAGGAACATGTGCAGTTCCTGAAGTACCCACAGTTTGATTACGTCAGACATAAGAAAGCATAACAAATTACACATAACACAGAGGTTAGTGATGTAGTATGGTAAATAAACTTTAGAGCTATTGAGTGTGTCCAAACATCGATTTTGTGTCGACACAAACTTGATTTTTATTTTACACGCACTTGGTTCACGTAGACAAAAATATGAGGTTGCATTTTTCAATAATAGGTTGCAATGGTGCATGTTCTTCACAGCTAAATCGAGCCCTGCTGGATTAGAAATTAATTTATCTTTGGATCACAATCGCTTTGTGTAAAATAATTGCTTTCTTCACATACACCTTCGCATAGCTACATAAATACATCAACTCCATACTATTTGGTTACTGACATGACGAATACAAGTTATTTACACAGACACTGTTCAAAGTGAAATCTGCCCGAGAAACATTTTGTCCGGGTTAAGAAGGTTCTGTTATGCACATCCCATCAATACACACATAATCAGAATTAAGGAAGCATGCATCTTCGATTATCCAGGTTATTCATCCCCATTCCGTTATGATAAATACCCTGCACCCATTCGCTTACACAGCATCGTTTCATTTAATTCGAGGGACACGATGCCAACATATCCGTCCAATCAAATGACAACTTATTGGAACCCGAACAATAAAGAGTCATTACATGTGATTGGCTGTTGATTTCTATATCGAGTGCGGAGCTAGTGATAAGAGAGATGAATATGGTGACGTCACTTCTGCAACCCAGTTATTATGATAGTGAAGCAAAGGCTATATTGTTTTTCGTTATGGTTTACCACTGAAGAAAGTCAGCAAAAATTCCTGAGTGTCATAATGTAGGATTATCTCAATCTCAGTCGATAAATAAAAAAGAGCATATCAGATGCATCTTGTGCAGAAACTCAGTTGAAGCAGATCACTGTAAACCCAATAAGCCCCATTAACTTGAAAGACAATCGTTTCGTCGTATATTCTGTCCATATTCTGCCCTCTGAGTATGTGCTGTTGAGCAATCCCGTCAGTCCATCCACTGATTATGAACATTATTGATATTTTCTGTACAAATACGAATTCCCGTGGTCCATCTCTGCACAACACAACAAATCGTATGTTATAGTAACACAGCTAGTGTCTTGTCGATTGCTTCAGATGCCCTCATTGTCAATCACACACACGTCTTTTGGCTGGCAGAGAGACATGGATGACATTGTCGAGCTGACACTGCCGTGCCGACACTGCCTCTGAAATCACCATGACAAGATGGCCAACATTTCCAGCAGCACCCTCGAAGTCCAAGCGTGTATGTTCCGCGTTTCTCGCCTCGAATAAACATACCCTGAATTCCGAGGATGATGCTAAAGATGAGGACTTCGAGTGTCACATCTTCCTATCTCACTCTTATGGACACACTTTCTACACTCTTCGCCAAAAGCTCGTTTCTGCATCCTGAAGATAATATAACTCAGTCCTTACATCATCACAGAGTTATGTTTCATGAGACAAGTGACTTCCCGATTTCTTGTTTTCTGTGAATCAGGTATTGGCGATGGATCCATTTTAATCACATGTGGTTGTAAATCATGTGATTCACAGATCCTGGTAAGATTCATTTGAGATCATATAGTGTTATAATTCATGTGATTCACAGATCCTGGTATGATTCATTTGAGATCATATATGGTTATAATTCATGTGATTCACAGATCCTGGTATGATTCATTTGAGATCATATAGGGTTGTAATTCATGTGATTCACAGATCCTGGTATGATTCATTTGAACCATGTATGGTTGTAATCCATGTGATTTATATATCCTTGTAAGATTCATTTGAATCAGGAAAGGCTTTTCTCCTGAAGGGGATGTACACCCGTTTAAAACATTGTCGACCATGTATTAAGAGTCCCTCCCTTCCGTGTTGCTCATGCAATCAGGTCGAGATAGGTCGGTTCTTTCAGACACAGACTGTCCAGGCGTTTGTGGATTTCCTTCATTGTCAGTCTCTCCGTCGGCTGCCTCTTCCAACACCCCAGCATTATCTTGTAGACGTCATCCGGGCATATCTGAGGGCAGTCAAGCAGGTGCCCGTTCTGGATGCACTGTATTACCTTCAATAGAATGGCAGTCATGTTAAAAGAGAGAATGCACTCATCAATATTCAAGTTATATGAAGTACTGTAAATAATCAAATCTGTGTTTGGTTTCACGATGAGAAAAGCCACAAAAACACACAAATATCAAAAGAAGTCGTCCATTGTACGACTCCGGCTATCCCATAAGCATGTCTATGGAACACTATCAATTAGTGATGATACCAGGTGCTCGCGAAAAGATTAGCCTATCCTGCCCAACACAGTGATTGACGTCAAGAGCAACGCTCCATGCAGTGGTTGGTGTCATAAGCGACGTTCCACGCACCTTTCCTTGCAGTGATTTATATCATAAGCAATGTTCCATGCAGTGATTGGTGTCATAAGCGACATGCAGTGATTGGTGGCATAAGCGACCAAGCTCCTCACAGCGATAGCCCATTCGCGGAGCTCTCTGTATCGCTGCCACCAGTCAAAACTCCCCACTGTGATACGGGCTACAACCATGTTTGGAGTTGAACTCGAAGTCGACTGACCGTTATGTTTACAAACACTTGACGACTACCGTGACCCCGAATACTCATACCGCTGCTAAATTTTGTTCTCAGTTTGTGAATTTGAATTTCTGTTTCATTACAACTATCTACATGTTATTGACATACAATATAAATATTTCGTTTTTAATGATTTTATTACAAGGTACACACGGTTATTATCTATTGTGAAGACGTCCGATTTTCGATCACAAATCACTTAATTTCGTTAATCCGACATACTCGTTAATCCGACACAATCATGTGCAACCAACGATGTCGGATTAACGAGACTTGACTGTAGTTATAATGTAAGGGGGAAGTTGGTTGATTTTCTGTTCGTCTGCAATCTCGAACCAATCCGATCAACAAACAAAAAGGTAAATATATCTGGGAAGTATGGTCAACTGTAAACCTTTTCAAAATTAACGGTGATTGCATTCACAAAGACAAAAACAAAAGTATAAACGTTACTACATTTGGGGTTAAAGGGCAAATATCAAGATTCTTGTAATGGCTGCGTCCACACTGGTGGCAGCGATGTTACCGAGAGTGTAACGAAGGTGTCACGCGCTGGGAAGGAGCTTGATAAGCGACATGCAGTGATTGGTGTCATAAGCGACGTTCCATGCAGTGATTGGTGTCATAAGCGACGTTCCATGCAGTGATTGATGTCATAAGCGACATGCAGTGATTGATGTCATAAGCGACGTTCATGCAGTGATAGGTGTCATAAGCGACATGCAGTGATTGATGTCATAAGAGACGTTCAATGTAGTGATTGATGTCATAAGCGACCTTCCAGGAGGTTTGGCTGCGGTCGCACAGAATCAGCCCGACATACCGATCCATGAAGTCGCCTTGTTCGACAAGCACAGGTTGATCGAAAGTTATTATAACCTAGAATCCACACGGGGATGTGATGCCACGTACATGCACATTCGGTAAGATAAGAATATTTATGTAGCATTTACTCCGACATTATGTAGCCTGTAACACCGTACCTCTATATTGGACAGTTCGTAGTAAGGCTGTTTCCCGTATGTGAAGATCTCCCACATAACGATGCCGAAACTCCACACATCGGATTCCACTGTGAAGGTTCGGTACAGCAGACTTTCGGGAGGCATCCAGCGGACCGGCAACATGGCGGTTCCCCCGACCTGGAACAGAGGGATACATTGGGTGATGATGAGGTGAGGTGTAATGAAGTCCAGAGCTCCAGATAAGCTGCGTATCTGCGTGAAATACGCATCAGAAATGCAGAAATACACAGTAAAATATAATCCAAGCGTATCAAATACGCAACGAACATTACAGATACGCTACAAAAATAAAACTTGTGCGTACCATCAAAATATTGTGAAGTAACCCTGCGTATTCGATTAGCAAATCAGCAACTTATTTTGAAATTATAAAGGGGCATTCCGTCAACCTTGCCAAACTCCACGATGACAGTTACATCATGATCATTTGCCATCACACTTTCTTGTGGAAGTATCGTGGTATTTTTGAGTCCTATAAAGCTCTCGAACCCACACGACACCAGTTTGCAGGGACTAGATGTATAGCGTTTTTAAATATTTAACTTAAATACCCACATGTGTAAAAACTAGTTGGTAACAGAAATTTGAATACGCAGGTAGAATTACTGATACCCAATGATTTTAAAATGCATGGGTAAAATACCCACAACACCAAAAGCTTATCTGGAGCTCTGTGAAGTTTACCGTTTTGCTCAAGATTATTGCATTTATATAGCAACTTACATGTACGTGTGTGTTAGGATACTTGTACTGGTCTGGACTTGCGTCGGTTTTATAGTGCTAGCCCACTGAGGTACTGTGCTTCAGTTTAACATGAAGACCCCAACCAGACTCCGAGCCGACCAGTCCTTGTTTTAGCCCCTTAATGCCGATCCCCATGCTATGCAGGGTGGCAATAACGACCATCTTTCAACGTCTTCTGGTATGACGCGGCCAGTGATCGAACCACCGACCTTCCGCTCCAGACGCTCTGTCCACATTCTATTCCAACTATTTTATTGTAAAAAGATTCCCTGACCCAGGAATATCAAACGGTCGGTCCGTAATACTGCGGCCCTTTATGAGATGCCATCCTGCTCATAAGCATTCAGCATATCACTTAGTCTTTACATCCAATTTAAGAAATCTTGAGTCATATCAGTGTACACAGCTGGTACAAGCACATTAGACTAGGACTTTCACATAGAATACATGACCATGCGTGCTCATAAGCTTCGGGCTAAACATGTTATTTATTTGTCACACTTTGTAAGAACAAAGACGGAAATTACATTTCAACATTGAAATATTGGCATCCGTATACCAAGTAAACATTTCATGGCATAAAGCGTACTATTCGGGCATTCGGGGTTCCAAAGGTGGGTGACTACTCTCCGCCCAGTTACTAGGAAACAACCTACCCTGTAGTAGTCCGTGCTGTAAACATCCCGTGACATGCCGAAATCCCCAATCTTTACTATGAGCTTGTCATCCACCAGACAGTTCCGGGTGGCCATGTCGCGGTGCACGAAGTGCTGGGACGCCAGGTAGTCCATGCCGGTGGCGATCTGGTTGGAGATGTGCAGAAGTTGTGTGATGGTGAGCGTATCGTTCTGCGGGGTTCCCTTACAGATGACTGACGAGTCCGGGCCATGGGACCTGTGTCACGGAGAATAGAAACAACGAAAATCAATAATAATAATAAGAATAATAATGATGATAATATTAATAGATCTAAGATAATATGTACATTTTACTACTACTACTACTACTACTACTACTACCATAACTATTATTAACATGTACATCTGTATAGAACCGATTCCACACAACACATGCTTCATTATTTAGCGCACAAGTATAAACCCGTTCATCGGAAATTTGCATTCTCTACTCCCTGGGAAGTATATATGACCTATACTAGAAACAGTTACACGATTCCGCATTACATCTTCTCGTACCGGATACTCATTTATTGATGGGTGAACACAGGCAAATGTCAGGCCTAAGTTAACATTTATATAATGTTTATGGTTCCTGCGACCACGGCAAAAAACTGGTAAACTGTAAATGACATGTAATTGTCTTTCAACTTAAACTTGTTGTGACTTGTTTGTTGTTTAACGCCGTACTCGGTAAACTTCCAGCTGTATGACGGCGGTCTCTAACTAATCGCGACTGGAGCAAACAATCCAGTGATTGACATCATGATCATCAATCCGCACAATGTGGATCGATGACATGCATCAACCAAGTCAGCGTGCCTGACCACCCTTTTGGCGCCTCTTACGACAAGCATAGTCACTGCAAATTAAACAGTTAAACTGGTAGTAGTATATACATGAAAAAACAAACAAATTTTTTTCTGATACATTCAATACGCACTGAAAGTCAGTACAACAGTGTCAAGCAGTTTTAAAACAATTTTCAAAGGCAAATTGTATTCTGACCCACCGGTAAGTGTGATAAAATAAAAAAGGTTGTTTTGTATGTATGTTTTAAAAAAAAATTCGACCGACCTTAACAAAAAAATTTCGGAATGATCTATGAGATGGTAATGATCTATGAGCTGCCTAACGTTGCCATGGGTTTTCCTTAAACATATATTTTGTATTGCATTCGCTAGAAGCAGCGTTAAATCTCACTCACTAAAATTTGGGTTAAACTGATATACTCTATGCAACGGCTAGTTGTATTTCTCCTTCATAAGTTTAACACTATAATAATATTATTTTGAAAGGACACATACAGGAGAAGGCCCTTTCACACAAACATATTTTGTCGGATGCGTCGGGTATAATTGAGGAATTGGGGACGGTTTTCAAGTGAGGCATTGTTCAAAAACTGTAAGGATAATTCTTGTCATAGTGTGAGGTAATTTACTTTAGCCGTGTGTGCCAAATAATAAAAATAGCACCACCTAATAATGTTCCTTACCTTAAATAGTTATTTAAATCTCCATTGGACATGAACTCGAATATCATCATATAATTCTCATTATTTTGAGAAACACCATAAAATGTCACAATATTGTCATGTTGGAGGTTAGCCAGAAGCTCAGCTTCCCTGTCAAAGTCTTTCATCACTGATTCACTTGTTGCGTCTTTGAGAGTCTTGATTGCAATTAGAGTTACTTCCCCTTCTTCAACAAGCCCAGTGCAGGTTCCAAGGTAAACGCGCCCAAACGCACCTTCCCCGAGTTCTCGCAAAAAACAGATTGTTTCTGGTCGGATGGTTCTCTGTGCTGAAATGTTAAATGTGACTCTGTTATTGAGTGAGTGAGTCTGGTTTTACGCCAATTTCAGCAATATTCCAGAAATGGGCTTCACACATTGTACCAATGTGTGATATCAAACATGGCCTTCAACGTGACGAGTTAATGCCCATCACCTTTAGCAGAACATCACGATACTGTCACATCAGTTGTGATACGGTGTTATCTATAAAGTTGGAATGGTATGAATATCTAATAAACCATATTTTTTATTAATACTATGTGTATAATACAAGAATATTTCTTATTTTCCAAGGTCTTTTTTACGTGAAAAGATATGTATTTATAAACCATGGAGCAGTGCTCCGTGAGATGTTATACTATTCATTCTGTATTTTATTGTACCAAAATCAACTCATAGATGTCATGACATATGAATTCGTGCTAAATTTAAAACGATGTTGTGATATAAATATATGTCGAACGATTTATTGATGGAAATTGAACACATGGTAACACTCAGTCCAGCATGGAGATGTTATTGTTGAATAAGGATTAAGTGATGTCTATGATTTGATGTTTTGTTACATCAAATGTTTATGGAAAACATTTTAAAACAACATGTTATGAATAAAACCTTGATATCTTAATATTGGGATGAAATTGCAAACCAAATCATGTCATCTCATGTTGGTCCACCAGGCATAGATCTACAGTTAAAGCTGTAATCTCTTTTCTGTCAAAACATTATAGATACCTACTCGAATTATTCCTGTAGGCAGTTTTCTGCATGTAATTAGGGTTTTCTATCAAATGAAGACTATTGAGAGGTGCAGCTTCCAGAAGGAGTCCGCCCTTGGTGACCTTCGGTCCGATGACTCCCTTGTTCCGGTTTTGGAAGGTCGCATGACGGTTGATCTTCCTGCGGTGCCGGCGAACACACACGACGAGTGTGATGGTGAAGGCCAGGATAATGGCCGTTGCAGATGCCGTCACGATTACTGTCTGGGGGAGGAATTGTCATGTTATCAATTATTACATTATCGTAGGCATGGCAGCATCCATTCAACAGAAACAGTACTGGCAAATCTTTGGAACTCAAAGTTCGTAAACCATTTGTCATCACTCGCCCACATTCGTGACACGAATGACAATTTCAATATGGAACGGCGTTGTTTTGTCAAAAAAGGGACGATTGATGAACACCAATCGATTCGAATAAAAAACTCCCCGCCTTTAGCTGACAGATACTAAATTATCAGGATTATTCTGTTGTTTTTCTATAAATCCATTGCCGGTGACAGGGGGTTGCCCATTCTAATCAAAGTGCCGCAATTGGTTGTGCAGAGTTGCGTCCCTTAGTCCTGAATCTGTTTTTTTTTTCAGAACACTTCCAGACCAACGTCGCCTTGGGCTTTTCCCACATACACTCACATGCCATGATATAATTAAAATATTCCTCGGATAGGAATTATAACAACCCATTCACACAGCTTATGAAGCACTCAGGGATTGTTCCTAATCTATGGCTAGGATACACACACCAAAACACTGCCACACATGTCCAGTTAGCTATGGTCGAGAACATGACGACTTGCACCTCGTCCACAGCGTGTAATGTTTTGACAGTATCACTATATCCCTTTTTTACATCATTGTCGTAGCTGCTTGTTGCATCAACAACCTCATCATCAAAACTGTCCGAGTCATGTCATAATGACGTAAGGGTGGATGCCTAGGTATGAGTGGCTGTTGGGAAATGTCACAGGTCCCAAGAAAGACGGCTGTCTTCAAAAATCCCGCATTCTTTGGCTGGTCTCAAGAGGGCGTGCAGTCGGGTTGAATCATGAGAAGGATATGCCGTTGAGTGAGCGACAACAACACATCCTGTCAGCATACTTCCAAGGCTAAGGAAGGAACAGTTCACGTTCAGGATGATCTGAAGGTCATGAATGAACTGTTTTGCAGCATAAACTAATGTCTGGAAATTTACAGCAATTATGGGGAAAATCGAGCAACACCTTTCCTATCATACTGCAGATGTTGGACAGCATTTGAGACAGGGACGGATCAAGGAAAATGAACACCAAGCTATCCCCAGGAAGCAAAGGCGCTTGCAGGGACCATCAATGACCTTGCCAGGAAGTTTGAGTGTCCTATTTTGTACGCTCCCAAGCTTTTCAAGACAACAGGCTTGTTTGAGTCTGAGACTTGGGATTTCATTGAGTCCTGGATGACTGCTAGAGAGGCGGAATTGTCTTAGATATGAATAACAACTTTGAACATGAATAACTATTGAGAGTATGGCAATAGACCCTTTCCAGTTTGGTATAATATGTACGTCTGTCAAATTACTATTGTTGTTTTCAAGCTTTGAAAGTGGGATGGGCCATATCTACTGATTTGAATGTTCAGGGGGGTGGGGAATTTTAAGTGATCACCAACCGCCCATACCACAAATTATGCATGCAATTATGTACTTTGCAAGTAATATGAAATCTTAAACATGTATCAACCATGTCAGTGAGCCTGACCACCCCATCCCTTTCGTCGCCTCTTACGATAAGCATAGTCGCCTCTCTCGGCAAACATGGGTTGCCGGGTCTAAAACGGATCTTCGTGAGTCCTTAAACTTATACGAACATAACATGGCATTAGGTACGAAGAATGGCTTCACCAATGGCCCGTCTCCGTAGTCAAGGTGATAGAGCGTCTATCCGGATAGTGGAAGGTCGATGTCAAAGCAAAATACCGCTCGGTATTAGGGGGATTAAACAACGACTGGTTGTCTCGGAGTCTGTATACTGTGTTTGAGTGGGGTATGCATGTTAAACTGCGGCATGGTATCTCAGCAATCTCATTAAAATCAGACTTAGTTCTCGCTACCGCTAAACAAAAATCTGAGGACATCCCATTAAGGGTCACGTTAGAACAACCTTTCATCCGACCAATCGCAGCGTCGCTTACCAGATCATGAAAGTGAAAGTGTGATTTCTAATCACGCAACCTCAAAAACTTTAACACTGGGTTTAACGACTGAATCCAAACAATCTAGACCACCAGCCATTCCAGAATGTTCTTTTGTTCAGATTTCAAATTTATAATCGAGAATTTGTCAAAATATGTTTCGAAGCGTAGTCGCCAATTTGAAATTAGTGCCGTAAAGCACGAGAAAGCTGCCTTCTGATTGGCTAATATCGACTTCTTGTCAGTCATTCCATTGGTCGGTCAAAGTTCGCGCAAGATCGGTCTGACGTGACCCGTAATGGGATGTCCTCAGATCTTTGTTTAGCGGTAGCGAGAACTAAGATCTGATCTTTGTGAGATTGGGTATCTCACTAAGCTAGCTAAAAAAAACGGCATTAGTACACGCGCGCACGCACACGAGGTTTTACGCCGCTTTTAGCAATATTCCAGCAATATCACGACAGGAGACACGAGATGTGAGCTCCACACTTTGTACCCATAAGAGGAATCGAACCCGGGTCGTCTGTGTGACGAGTGATGCTTTAACCACAAGGCTACCCCACCGCCCGCACACGAACGTCACTGTATAAGTGAATAATCTTGAAACCAGCGTTAAACCCCATTTCACCTCACCTCTGCTCACCGCAAATGGCGACGTGATTAGTGAGATCGCAAAGGGCAACGTGATAGGTGAGTTGGTTTATTGCGTATCATCGTTGCCCGACGACGTGGATTGATGTTCATAATATCAATCACTGAATTGTCTCGTCTAGACTCGATTATTTACAGGACGCGTCAGGTAGCTGTACTTTTGCTGAAGGCGGCGTTCAACAACAAACACAAGGAAAAACACCAATTTGAGAACACATTCAATATGGCATCGCTTCTTACTATTTTAAAGTCGTCCGTATTCTTCACCTTCGGCTGTGTAGTGGTTGTCGCTTGGGGCAGGAAAGGAGGTGGGTTGGGAAAAGGGCGTGGCCTCTCAGGGTGCCCTGTAATTTTTAAAGAAAAATATAACCATAATTAGGTGTGAGTCAGTGAGTGACTTGGATTAAACGCCGCTATCAACAGTGTTCCAGTTGTATCATGGCGTGCCGGGATTGGTACCCACGATCATAGCTTGCTGGGGTGCCCAAGAGACGCTACTCTGCATAGCGAACTGCAGCGCCTTAGGCGACTGGGCCACCCGTGGTCTCCCAACTCCTCCACAATCAGGAAGGAGAAAACCCAAACAATATCCTTTGTTGTGCATAAACATTACATATGACATAAAGCGCCAAATTTCATAAGCTTCATCTGCATCGTTAATAAAATCGGAAAACAAAACTGAAGATTAATACCTAAAAAGTTTGTTTTTCTGAAAAACATGAAAACGTCGCTTGCTGTTTATCAATTACAATATTTGTCCAAAGTATATTTGATAACTCTTTCACACACAAAATATTTTTTTAATAAACTTCAAAAAGATAGAAATAGATAGAGTTTATATTTGAAACAAATCACCATAAGAGTTGTAAAAGGTAACGTTTTAAATACAAAAGGGGAAAAGAAGAAAAGTACACTTGCCATTGTCACAAATTTTTCTGAGGCTATTTTTATATAGTAACCAATGCTGCCAGTTTAGTACTCTTTGAATAATACACTTGCACTAGAAGATTACAGATACTATAGGACAAAAAGCGGACAGACAGATTACTGATACTATAGGACTAGAAGCGGACATATTACTGATACTATAGGACAAGAAGCGACAGACAGCCCAATGACTAATCTACTTGTTGAACTATGATCTACTGATCCTATGTTCTACAGATTTATGATTGTCTACTGGTTCTACTATAATCTACTGTGAGCTACTGATTCTACTATGGCCTACTGATTCTACTACTACATGTATGTACTGATTCTACAATTATCAATTAATTCTACCATGGTCTATTGATTCTACTATGAACTACTGGTTGTACTATAATATACTTTTTGTTACTGATTCTACTACTAAAAAAGTAATTCTACTGATCTACGGATTCTACTATTGTCTCTTGGTTCTACTAAAATGTACGATGTTCTACTGATTCTACTGGTTTCAACTGATTCGATTATGATCTGATTCTGCTATTATCAACTTATTCTGCTATTATCAACTGATTCTGCTATTATCAACTGATTCTACTATTATCAACTAATTCTGCTATTGTCAACTGATTCTACTATCACAACTGATTCTACTATTATCAACTGATTCTGCTATTATGAACTGATTCTGCTATTATCAACTGATTCTGCTAATATCAACTGATTCTGCTATTATCAACTGATTCTACTGTTATCAGTTGAATCTGCTTTTATCAACTGATTCTGCTACTATCAACTGATTCTACTATTATCAACTAATTCTACTATTGTCAACTGATTCTACTGTTATCAATTGAATCTGCTATTATCAACTGATTCTGCTACTATCAACTGATTCTACTATTATCAACTAATTCTACTATTGTCAACTGATTCTACTGTTATCAATTGAATCTGCTATTATCAACTGATTCTGCTATTATCAACTGATTCTACTATCATCAACTAATTCTACTATTGTCAACTGATTCTACTATCACAACTGATTCTACTATTATCAACTGATTCTGCCATTATGAGTGGAGTGAGTATGATTTTACGCCGCTTTTAGCAATATTCCAGCAATATCACGGCGGGGGACACCAGAAATGGGCTTCACACATTGTACCCATGTCGGGAATCGAACCCGGGTCTTCGGCGTGACGAGCGAACGCTTTAACCACTAGGCTACCCGACCGCCCTCCGCTTTTATGAACTGATTCTGTCATTTTTTAACTGATTCTGTTAATATCAACTAATTCTACCGTTATCAATTGAATCTACTATTATCAACTGATTCTACGATCACAACTGATTCTACTATGTTCTACTGATACTTCTATGATCTACTGATTCTACTATAGTCTCCTGTTTCTACTAAAATCTGCTATAACCTACTGATCATACTATTACATACTGGATCTACTATCATCTACTGGGTCTACCATAATTAAATAGTTCTACTAACATCTTCTGACTTTTCTATGATTTACTTGTAATCACCCTTCCAAAAATATGAAAAAAAACACTTTATGAATATATTTACATGGATCGTAACCTCCAAGCCTATTGCCCATTTGCAGGAAATGTCGAGGTGAGGCTGAAACATGCTACAGTAGTTTCAGAACAACATAACCAGTCTTGAGTGGGTTGATGGGCGTGTGTAGTGAGGTCATGGATATGTCGTGGAACTAAGACACGCGGTCATACATCGATGGCTGTGACATCCGGTTTTATAGGGCAATATAATGTTACATTTGTTGGGAAAAACAAACTGTTCCAGAAAATATTCGAAATTTTGCCTAAGGTTTTAACAGTCAAAGGGGAAAAAACCTTGTTAATTGATTTGGATACAAAACAATAACTGGTTTCAGAATAACACAGACAACATATTATTAGGAACTCCTGTGTTTGAATTTCTAGTTACAAGTTATCGCACGACTACAAAAGGCTGTATGCACCATCTCAGAAGCACTGAACTTTAAATGTTAAAAGGAACAGATATAGGGTAATTTCAATTAGGGCATCACCCCAAGCTTCACACTCATGTTTTATTATTCCGACCAGTCTAGCAGTTGTTGATTATCCTTATTACATTGAGAGAATGTCTACAATTCCAATTCTGGACTAATTGCAACGTCTAGACCATGAATGGTACTGGGCTTCAGGCCTTGGAACCTCTTGAAGAATAACAGGCATAAATGTAGAATGTGAATAACTGGATTGTCTGGTCCAGACTCGATTATGCAGAGACCGCCGACCTATAGCTGGAATATTGCTGAGTGCGGCGTTAAACAACAAAGAAAGGAAGGACAACGTGACATCACAAACACACCGTCATTATACGACACAAACACACCGTCATTATTCGTCACAAACGCACCGTCATTATACGTCACAAACACACCGTCATCATACGCCATAAACACACCGTCATTACACATAACCACATATCCTTCCTTAACACTTGAACACAGATACTTCCATGACACATACACACATATACGTTGATGACACATAAGCACATTGTCATTCTAGATAACTGAAACGTTATACGTGTTAAAATAACTTACGTATTTGATTTTGATTTCTTGAGATGAAGATGTTTTTCTGATCTTTACCATACGTATTGTTGACGACGATAGTGTATGTTCCGGCGTAGTTGAAATTCGCTGTATCAAATTCCAGAGAGCCCTGCACCCAGCCAGGACATATTGTAAAGTTAAAGCCGAGTATCCCCTTTCTCTGTAGAGCTTTATTATTGAACAACCACTGAATAGAGGGCTCCGGCCAGCCGCGGACATCATATCTCAGTTTCTGGTCCGTTGCTTCGTTGATGGTCATATTCACTTTCGTAATGTTTAGTCGTGGAGCAGCTGGAATGGATGAATATAGTGTGTGAATTAGTGAGAGTGTTTTACACTATTCATATCTATATTCCAACTTCCATATAACGCTCGGAGCCACCAAACGTACGCCTCATCTATTTAATATAGAAAATGTCAGCTCCAGAAAATAACCAGTCTCGATTATCCGCCAGTATTTCAGGTATATGTGTTGGAGGAAAGACCGAAGCGATGCAGGACTAAGATGTTAACCACTCTGATGAAACCCATGCACGAATCTGGTGCTGACAAACTTAGAAACATAATCGGGGCGAGCTTGGATTCGAACTCACAATCTTTAACGCCTAAGGGACGCTTACTTCTGGCGCCTCAAACGACTGGGCCACGTGTGCCTTCTTGTTGAAGCCGATCGCCTCCGTGGTCTAGTGTTAGAGCGTCCGCCCGGAGAGCGTCATACCAAAAGACGTTTAAAGATGGTACTTGTTGTTACCCTGTCTGGCGCTCGGCATTAAGGGGCTAAAACAAGGACTGGTCGGCTCGGAGTCAGAATACTGTGTCTCAGTGGGGTATTCATGTTAAACTGCGGCATGGTATCTCAGTGAGCTAGCACTCTAAATCGGCATCAGTCCGGATTAGTACAAGCAGCCAAACACACACACACACACACATGTGCATGTACGTCGCTATATAAGTGCAATAATCTTGGACGCGACGTTAAACCCAATTTCACCTAACCTCACCTCTTGTTAAAGCTAACAAGGTACTTGGTTGCACTTACAATTGACACCCGTGGTGATTCCGGCTTAAGATTGACCCCAGCAAGCTATGCTGATCGTACGAGGCGACCAAATGGATCGGGTGGCACGCTCCGCGATTTGACTGATACCACGATGTGGATCGTTGTTCACAATATCAATCACTGGATTGTCTGGTCAAGACTGGATTAACTACAGACGCCATATAGCTGGGATATTGGAGTGGTGTGTTAACAAACAAACAAATAAACAAGCAAACTTACAGTTGACAAGTATTTCCACTTGAGCTGACACGTTATTGACTTTATTCTCCACGATGCAACGAGGACGATTGTTGTGGTCAGTGGAATTGACATCCCACACCTGTAACGCTTTGATCGTCTCATTGGCGGTGTCCTTGACCGTACTAATGGTGTAGTTGGAAGCGAGATCCTTTAATTTCCATCTGACATCCGGTTTAGGACTTCCGGTTCCTCTGCAGTGGAACACGGCATCCTGGGAGGCGTTAATGGATATTTCGGAGGGCGACACGTGCACATGTGGTGTTTCTGTAAAGGTGGTGATACTTTGTATAGTATATAGAGACCATTGTGTTATCATATAATGCATAGTGTAAACAAAGGGATAAAACAATCCGATAAACTTGGTATCACGATCCGATAAATTTGCAAAAGAGATCATCTATCAGGAACTGATTCTAAAATCCTCTTTACATAGATGTCATCTTGCTAAACGCCCCCAAAAGATAATCTTGTGCTCATGATAAAAAAACATTTCTGCCTGCAAGTCATTTGGCACAAAAGAATACAAGTGGCGACTTACTTTGTATTTCTACGATATTAATTAGGTTACACATTAATGGATGAAACTTGTCTTAAACTTCGACTTTATTTAGAATGCCATTAAATAATAAAGAGATTATTAGTTTCGTGTGTTTCCGTACCGTAAATATCCTATATTAAGAATAAAAATCGTATCATGCAAGCTGCAGAGCAAAAGAAACTATACCTATCGGTTGATTTTATCATATGTTTGATTGTCAATTGAAAATATCCTTAGTAAGCGATATTATATCACAACATGAAATGTACTTGCACTTAGTCAGCACTCAAAGAATACTTCTACATGGCTTTATTTAAAATAAATCATTCAAAAATTTTAAGAATTAAAAAGAACCGACATTTGCATAATACACTACTGCTGGTGGATCTTAGACGATTTATCTTTGAAAATTATTAAATTTACAACATTTGAAACATATTAAGTGTTATGAATTGCACATTCATTTCTAAACCCAGTCATTATTGAATCAATCTATTTGTACACAGAATTACCCAGCCACAGATTACTTTTCACAAACTGTTGCAGGAATGAGTGATGCTTAAATAAATCTATTAATCAATTTTAACAACAGCTCTTAGAATTTGCGATTACACAAAACTCAAACACGGTATATTTTCTTTTGTTTTGGCCATTAGTGAGTTTTACGCTTTACTTATTAGGTTTTTATGCCGCTTTTAGCAATATTCCAGCAATATCACGGCGGGGGTCACCAGTAATGGGCCTCACACAATGTACCCATGTCGGGAATCGAAACCGGGTCTTCGGCGTGACGAGCGAACGCTTTAACCACTAGGCTATCCGACCGTCCGTACAGGCTATTAACAACGCAAATACCTTCTCGGCAAATAATCTCTATGTAGAGCAGGCTGTTACATGTCACATACAAGCGACAAATTAATATTCAAGGGTCTAGGACTTTTCTTAGAGACACGATATGTTTTCACTCACTTCTTCAAAAAGAAATTCTCTGAAAAGAGAAGCCTGGCAAATATGTTTTCAAAATCATGGTTTTAAAAAAAACCCGAAAACGGTCAGCACTGAAAGATACTTTTCATGCTATGTTAGTCAGAAATAGCATTCGAAAAAAATAAACACCAATGGATTATTCAGCATGTATGTGATATTTCAAGGACAACATTGAACAATAAGAATGAAAGTAAGATAACAGAATGGCCCTCCACATGGTAACATAACATGAAATATGCCTCCATGCTGGTGTGTTAACATATACCGGCCGAAGTGATGTCGGCATATCTATCAATATTGGTTACTGTAACTAAAATGCCCAATCCTCTATTTTCCTGCAGGAGTGTAGCAACATGCAGTAACATGCTTCGGTGTTTTTTTCATATATTTATGAATTCAACGCACTAATCACCTGTCTTGTGTTTGAACCAATGAGTTAACACAGGATGGGCGAAACAGCTGCACTCTATCATGTACGACATACAATATTAATGAACCAACCCGGTTTGCTGTCGCGATACTGAAATAGTTAGATACAATCAATCAACTGGCACTGCCTGCACCAAGGACACTGAACACACCTACTCTGACGTCATATTAGTATTACGGTAACGCCAGCTCAATTTCTGCTGCTTTTGAGTTGGTATATGATAAACCGATTCCAATACAGGTACCTGTTACGACGACATTTACTCTTTCCACTTCTCCATGACAGTGTATTTATCTTTCTGATCTATGGTGTACCTTCTATTAATATTCAATCTCCTTTTTCTTCATCGCCAATCTTTGTATTCGAGCTCCCATTTCTACACACCAAACCCTCAATTAAATTGCCAAAATCTTTACCAACAATCCCATTTCTACACCACCGATCCCTACATTCAATTACCCTGCCTACACCACAAATCCATCATCTTCACGTGGCAAGCGTGGCCACTAGCCTTTTTCAAAGTTTAGGTTCCACCCTTGCCATTTTAAGCCTACTTTTGCCGCAAGTGGAGTGTTACTTGAAACTGTGTAGTCGCACTACTCTGCATGCCTCTGTTAAGTATCTTTACTGTGGTAATTTGTCCTTTTAATTGTCTGTCAGGATGAGATCTCAAATCTTTTCGTTATCGGATCGACCAGGTCGTCTGCTATGGCAGTCATCTTTGTGCGGTCATTCGAAATAAGAACAACGATCTGATTGGATGTCGCGTTTTCATCACAAGGGACATAACTCGCGATCGAGAAGTAGGCTTGAAATGGCAAAGGTAGGAATTAGGCTTTGATATAGGCTAGCGGAAACTCGGGAAGATGCCAATCCATATACCCATTCTGCCATGTTTACACCCTCAATCCATATACCCAATCTACCATGTTTACACCACCAATCCATATACCCAATCTACCATGTTTACACCACCAATCCATATACCCAATCTACCATGTTTACACCACCAATCCATATACCCAATCTACCATGTTTACACCACCAATCCATATACCCAATCTACCATGTTTACACCACCAATCCATATACCCAATCTACCATGTTTACACCACCAATCCATATACCCAATCTACCATGTTTACACCACCAATCCATATACCCAATCTACCATGTTTACACCACCAATCCATATACCCAATCTACCATGTTTACACCACCAATCCATATACCCAATCTACCATGTTTACACCACCAATCCATATACCCAATCTACCATGTTTACACCACCAATCCATATACCCAATCTACCATGTTTACACCACCAATCCATGTACCCAATCTACCATGTTTACACCACCAATCCATATACCCAATCTGCTATGTTTACACCACCAATCCATGTACCCAATCTACCATGTTTACATCACCAATCCATATACCCAATCTACCATGTTTACATCACCAATCCATATACCCAATCTACCATGTTTACATCACCAATCCATATACCCAATCGGCCATGTTTACACCACCAATCCATATACCCAATCTACCATGTTTACACCACCAATCCATATACCCAATCTACCATGTTTACACCCTCAATCCATATACCCAATCTACCATGTTTACACCACCAATCCATATACCCAATCTACCATGTTTACACCCTCAATCCATATACCCAATCGGCCATGTTTACACCACCAATCCATATACCCAATCTACCATGTTTACACCCTCAATCCATATACCCAATCTACCATGTTAACTCAACCAATCCATATACCCAATCGGCCATGTTTACACCACCAATCCATATACCCAATCTACCATGTTTACACCACCAATCCATATACCCAATCTACCATGTTTACACCCTCAATCCATATACCCAATCTACCATGTTTACACCACCAATCCATATACCCAATCTACCATGTTTACACCCTCAATCCATATACCCAATCGGCCATGTTTACACCACCAATCCATATACCCAATCTACCATGTTTACATCACCAATCCATATACCCAATCTACCATGTTTACACCCTCAATCCATATACCCAATCTACCATGTTTACACCCTCAATCCATATACCCAATCTACCATGTTTACACCACCAATCCATATACCCAATCTACCATGTTTACACCACCAATCCATATACCCAATCTACCATGTTTACACCACCAATCCATATACCCAATCTACCATGTTTACACCACCAATCCATATACCCAATCTACCATGTTTACACCACCAATCCATATACCCAATCTACCATGTTTACACCACCAATCCATATACCCAATCTACCATGTTTACACCACCAATCCATATACCCAATCTACCATGTTTACACCACCAATCCATATACCCAATCTACCATGTTTACACCACCAATCCATATACCCAATCTACCATGTTTACACCACCAATCCATATACCCAATCTACCATGTTTACACCACCAATCCATATACCCAATCTACCATGTTTACACCACCAATCCATATACCCAATCTACCATGTTTACACCACCAATCCATGTACCCAATCTACCATGTTTACACCACCAATCCATATACCCAATCTGCTATGTTTACACCACCAATCCATGTACCCAATCTACCATGTTTACATCACCAATCCATATACCCAATCTACCATGTTTACATCACCAATCCATATACCCAATCTACCATGTTTACATCACCAATCCATATACCCAATCGGCCATGTTTACACCACCAATCCATATACCCAATCTACCATGTTTACACCACCAATCCATATACCCAATCTACCATGTTTACACCCTCAATCCATATACCCAATCTACCATGTTTACACCACCAATCCATATACCCAATCTACCATGTTTACACCCTCAATCCATATACCCAATCGGCCATGTTTACACCACCAATCCATATACCCAATCTACCATGTTTACACCCTCAATCCATATACCCAATCTACCATGTTAACTCAACCAATCCATATACCCAATCGGCCATGTTTACACCACCAATCCATATACCCAATCTACCATGTTTACACCACCAATCCATATACCCAATCTACCATGTTTACACCCTCAATCCATATACCCAATCTACCATGTTTACACCACCAATCCATATACCCAATCTACCATGTTTACACCCTCAATCCATATACCCAATCGGCCATGTTTACACCACCAATCCATATACCCAATCTACCATGTTTACATCACCAATCCATATACCCAATCTACCATGTTTACACCCTCAATCCATATACCCAATCTACCATGTTTACACCCTCAATCCATATACCCAATCTACCATGTTTACACCACCAATCCATATACCCAATCTACCATGTTTACACCACCAATCCATATACCCAATCTACCATGTTTACACCACCAATCCATATACCCAATCTACCATGTTTACATCACCAATCCATATACCCAATCTACCATGTTTACACCACCAATCCATGTACCCAATCTACCATGTTTACACCACCAATCCATATACCCAATCTACCATGTTTACACCACCAATCCATATACCCAATCTACCATGTTTACACCACCAATCCATATACCAAATCTACCATGTTTACACCACCAATCCATATACCCAATCGGCCATGTTTACACCCTCAATCCATATACCCAATCTACCATGTTTACATCACCAATCCATATACCCAATCTACCATGTTTACACCACCAATCCATATACCCAATCTACCATGTTTACACCACCAATCCATATACCCAATCTATCATGTTTACACCACCAATCCATATACCCAATCTACCATGTTTACATCACCAATCCATATACCCAATCTACCATGTTTACACCACCAATCCATATACCCAATCTACCATGTTTACACCACCAATCCATATACCCAATCGGCCATGTTTACACCATCAATCCATATACCCAATCTACCATGTTTACACCACCAATCCATATACCCAATCTACCATGTTTACACCACCAATCCATATACCCAATCTACCATGTTTACACCACCAATCCATATACCCAATCTACCATGTTTACACCACCAATCCATATACCAAATCTGCCATGTTTACACCACCAATCCATATACCCAATCTACCATGTTTACACCACCAATCCATATACCCAATCTACCATGTTTACACCCTCAATCCATATACCCAATCTACCATGTTTACACCACCAATCCATATACCCAATCTACCATGTTTACACCCTCAATCCATATACCCAATCTACCATGTTTACACCACCAATCCATATACCCAATCTACCATGTTTACATCACCAATCCATATACCCAATCTACCATGTTTACACCACCAATCCATGTACCCAATCTACCATGTTTACACCACCAATCCATATACCCAATCTACCATGTTTACACCACCAATCCATATACCCAATCTACCATGTTTACACCACCAATCCATATACCAAATCTACCATGTTTACACCACCAATCCATATACCCAATCGGCCATGTTTACACCCTCAATCCATATACCCAATCTACCATGTTTACATCACCAATCCATATACCCAATCTACCATGTTTACACCACCAATCCATATACCCAATCTACCATGTTTACATCACCAATCCATATACCCAATCTACCATGTTTACACCCTCAATCCATATACCCAATCTACCATGTTTACACCCTCAATCCATATACCCAATCTACCATGTTTACACCACCAATCCATATACCCAATCTACCATGTTTACACCCTCAATCCATATACCCAATCTACCATGTTTACACCACCAATCCATATACCCAATCTACCATGTTTACACCACCAATCCATATACCCAATCTACCATGTTTACACCACCAATCTATATACCCAATCTGCCATGTTTACACCCTCAATCCATATACCCAATCTACCATGTTTACACCACCAATCCATATACCCAATCTACCATGTTTACACCACCAATCCATATACCCAATCTACCATGTTTACACCCTCAATCCATATACCCAATCTACCATGTTTACACCACCAATCCATATACCCAATCTACCATGTTTACACCACCAATCCATATACCCAATCTATCATGTTTACACCACCAATCCATATACCCAATCTACCATGTTTACATCACCAATCCATATACCCAATCTACCATGTTTACACCACCAATCCATATACCCAATCTACCATGTTTACACCACCAATCCATATACCCAATCGGCCATGTTTACACCATCAATCCATATACCCAATCTACCATGTTTACACCACCAATCCATATACCCAATCTACCATGTTTACACCCTCAATCCATATACCCAATCTACCATGTTTACACCACCAATCCATATACCCAATCTACCATGTTTACACCACCAATCCATATACCCAATCTACCATGTTTACACCACCAATCCATATACCCAATCTACCATGTTTACACCACCAATCCATATACCCAATCTACCATGTTTACATCACCAATCCATATACCCAATCTACCATGTTTACACCCTCAATCCATATACCCAATCGGCCATGTTTACACCACCAATCCATATACCCAATCTACCATGTTTACATCACCAATCCATATACCCAATCTACCATGTTTACATCACCAATCCATATACCCAATCGGCCATGTTTACATCACCAATCCATATACCCAATCTACCATGTTTACACCACCAATCCATATACCCAATCTACCATGTTTACATCACCAATCCATATACCCAATCTACCATGTTTACACCAGCAATCCATGTACCCAATCGGCCATGTTTACACCCTCAATCCATATACCCAATCTACCATGTTTACATCACCAATCCATATACCCAATCTACCATGTTTACACCACCAATCCATGTACCCAATCTACCATGTTTACACCAACAATCCATATACCCAATCTACCATGTTTACATCACCAATCCATATACCCAATCTACCATGTTTACACCCTCAATCCATATACCCAATCTACCATGTTTACATCACCAATCCATATACCCAATCTACCATGTTTACACCCTCAATCCATATACCCAATCTACCATGTTTACATCACCAATCCATATACCCAATCTACCATGTTTACATCACCAATCCATATACCCAATCGGCCATGTTTACATCACCAATCCATATACCCAATCTACCATGTTTACACCACCAATCCATATACCCAATCGGCCATGTTTACATCACCAATCACCAATCCATATACACGACAAATCCCTCCTAGAAATCGGAGAGGCCTTGTCTCACGCAGTAGCCGAGAAAGTATAATGTCTCAATGATATATGGTTCTCACCACAATCCGGGTTGTCCATCTCCGATACGCGGCGTTTGACTCCGTCCTGTATACACATTATACGTTGATTATCCAGAAACTTGGAGTTAGATTTCTGTTTTAGTTTTAGCCACTGCATGTTGCAACTGCACACCAGAGGGTTTTCATTCAGGTTCCTGGGGGAAAGTGAAACATGATTCAAACAAAATTGTCATACTTCAGCCAGAATAATTACAAAAACCAGAAAGTTTCTAAAACGACTCCGTTTCTTTCCCCATTTCATAACGGATCAGCTTCAAGCTACTCTCTCTTGCCTTCCCATGCTATAACAATAATAATAATAATAATAATATAGTTTATTAATGTGTCATGTGTACATAATACACCTGCCATTACTGGCCTAAAAGACACCTAAAATTATACAATCAATAAAATACATAAATAAAATATTATAACTAACAATATCTTCATATGTATACAGCAAACCCCATCCACCCACCACCCCTCCCCCCGCCCCACTCCCCAGACATATGGACATATACTCCCATGTAGGATCAACCTATTCACCAGTTCACACACCTTAGCACCACAGCCTATCATCTTTTAAGAGACAGGTAAAAACATTCCTTTTTAGTCAGGCTTTCCCCTAAACTGCGAGAGACTCTTTCAACAAGCGTGCAGAGCATACTTTACTGTATTTTGGCGCTATATAAGTGTATATTTATTATTATTATTATTACACCTCTTTTACTCGTTTGTTTTGTTCGTTTGTTTGTCGTTAAACCCGCAGTCAGCAATATTCCAGCTATAAAGGGGCGTTTCGTAAATAATCGAGTCTGGACAATCCAGTGATTGACATCATGAGCATCGATCTACCCATAACATGCATCAAACAAGTCAGCGAGCCTGACAAACCCGATCCGGTTCGTCTCTTACGACAAGCATAGGTAACTGAAGACCTCTTCTAAGCCGGATCTTCTCGGGTTTTTTTACACGGACGTAGCTTACTATTTTATTGAAAATGATGAGAAGTTAATGCACTGTTTGTTTCCACCATAACATGGAGCCAGACGTCGCGAGCCAGAGGTTACAGGTGAAATATGCGTCCAAAGACGACTCGACAGCATTAGCAAATCCCCCAGGAAGATCGGGGTATTTTTAATCAGCAATCTATTTACAAGTACGAATACTCCAACGATGATGTCACCCATGACGCCATGATTCACAATTCTGAACGGCTTGGGAAGCAGAATACAAACTATCTGTTCTGATACATATCCCTTATGATGAATATTATATATAATGAATATTTTTTTTGTAATTGTGTCAATTACCACGTCAAGTTTGGAGTTAAGTCTCAAGCTTCTTCATAGAAATGTCTTCTCAGAAAATTGTCAGACTATTGTCTGATGTTTCATTGTGATTTAACATTGAAGCTTCTTTATTGAATTCAGGAGTCAAATGCTAAATACAAACCTTTTTTAAACGCCAATGCTATCGTCTATAACAACTTCAGCAATTTATGCTTGCTGTAAAAAGCGACTATGCTTGTCGTAAGAGGCGACTAACGGGATCGGGTGGTCAGGCTCGCTGACTTGGTTGATGCATGTCATTGTATCCCATTTGCATGGATCGATGCTCATGATGTCGAACACAGGATTGTCTGTTCCAGACTCGATTATTTACAGACCGCCGTCATATAGCTGGAATATTGCTGAGTGCGGCGTTAAACAACAAACAGACAAACAAACAAACAAACAAACAAACACACGTCTATAACAACCTGTCTATAACAGTGAAACCTAATGTAAATATATTGTCATACTTTGTCAGAAATGCCAGTCTCATATTAAAACTAAAAAGAATAATTGTTGTACTCACAGCTCAATGATATGCAGGTGACTCACAAGAAAACGAGAGAACGTCTCAAGCTTATTATGTTCAAGGTCGCTGAAAACAGAAGACTCAAAAGTATTGATTAGGAACACATGAAGGAAAGTTTCGACATTATGTCTCTATATGGGAGACCAATTTCTTGGAACATCGTTATAGATTAGTATTTCAACTATGAATAGTGCATATTTCAAGAAATAGTTCTTAAGGACGTCTGGTGGTCTGTAATTTAAGTATTTAACTATTTCTATGATAATAATCTGCAACATCTACATCTCTTGCAGATTCCGTACGGCTTCAGATTGTCTTTTCTTAGATAGGTATTTCTAAAATCTAGATGATTTAATCTAAATTTCCAATTGCATAAGGAAGGGGGTTAGTGTGCATTGTACCACTACAGATTTACATTTTACAGATGTAAGGAGGGTTGGTTGGTGGGTTGGTTGTTTAACGCCGCACTCAGCAATATTCCAGCTATATGACGGCGATCTGCAAATAATCGAGTCCGGACCAGACAATCCAGTGATTGATATCATGAGCATCGATCCACACAATTGGGATCGATGACATGCCAAGTCAGAGCCTGACCACCCGATCCCGTTAGTCGCCTTTTACGACAAGCATAGTCACCTTTTACGGCAAGCATGTATTGCTGAAAACCTATTCTACCCCGGATCTTCACGAGTCCATTGAAGATGTAGTCCTCTTCATATTTGATTGCGAGGCATATGTATTGTTGAGAAAAAAGTACATACCGAAGTGGCATATTTCATCAAACATTGTAAATCTCATAACTTACTTACACTTTTCTCAGGGGTAGGACTATATTTGAAATTATTTTATTGCAAAAATCCCACTGTTTGTTTGTATATTTGTTGTTTATTTTTATTATTTTTAACATTCATTCAGAATGAATGAATGAGTTTGTTTGATGTTTAACAAATATTCAGCAATATTTCAGCTATATGACGGCGGTATGTAAGTCATCAAATCTGGACCAGACAATCCAGTGACTGACATCATGAACATCGATCTATGCAATTGGGGCACGATGACATACATCAACCAAATCAACGAGAATGACCGCCCGATCCCGTTAGTCGCCTCTTACGACTAGCATAGTCGCCATTTACGACAAGCATGGGTCCCTGAAGATGTATTCTAACCCGGATTTTCACGGGTAAAAAAGCAATTGATGCGGTAGGAACATCTTAAATGCACAGTTACGTATTTCCCTCACCTGAAAACTATTCCCGATTCACAACAGTTTGAGTCGCCCAGTGAACGCAAAATCATACCTACATACATAATTAAGATATCGGAAATGTAATCACAGTTGCAATACTTACATTTTATTCAATTGTGTATTTGTTTCGAAAGCTCCATCTTCTATAAACTGAACACCACTGTATTTTATAACTCTGCAAATAAAATTAATAACCCTTGATTATCATATATAGTGGTATACTTCCTCTAAGATGACAAATCCGTTGATTTATATCAGCACTCAGTGAATGAGTTCGGGATCGAGGGAGGTAGCGAGCTAGCTTAACTCCGTTTTAACAGCATTTCAATTATACCACGGCGTGTCAGCTTAATGTGAGAGGAAAGGTCTTAGACGTTGAACGCAAGCACAACTACAGTATGATTGTGTTGAAGTAAGGGAGCTCTGACCTCCAGAAGGTCTTGAGAACACTTAAGGAAAATCAGTCATATTAATCCAAGAAAACGGGTATGATGCTGACGAACCAAGAATAAAAGCCATAATTATCTGATTCTGGCACGTTTAAGAGACGCAACTCTGAACAGGACATATAATAATAATAATTTTTGATAAATCCAATGAAATCATTTATATCATTGAATTTTCTGTCCCCTTTGGCACTAATGTGATTGACAAGATAGAGGAAAAACATGGCAAATATGCAGACCTCGCTTTCGAAATGTCACGCTTGCATCCCAAGTACCAAGTTGTCCGACTCCCCATTGTTCTCGGTGCCTTAGGTTTTGGTACCTCCCAATCTGTTGACTGACATTGGGAGAGTACCCGGGTTTGCTTCCAGGAATACGGGCCTTCTGACAATCTGAGTAATCCAGAAGGCTGCAGTGTTGGGGAGTCTTCACATTCTCCGAAAAGTTCTGGGTGTGTGTGACTAGGCAGCGCTTCCTGGGAGAAGTCCCATTCGCTGTCTGGGCTGCGTGTAGAGGGGGCAAGGGCCCTGAGCTGATGATGAGCCCAAACAGCCTGACTGTGCCAGGATCACCCAAACCCTCTTCGCTGCATTTTTCATTTTTAATCTGCACATACTACTACTACTACTACTACTACTACTACTACTACTACTACTACTACTACTACTACTACAAATTGCTTTACGTACAGTTCTTGCAAACTTTCGTACGGCTTCAGGTCGTCTCTTCGTATTCTTGTCAGGTTATTCTGGCTGAGAATCTCTCTGCAATTAAGAAAACAACATACTATAGAATGAAGAATGATCTGGGTTTTTTTCACCATGATACCAGGTACAATAGAAGGACAATACAATATATCCTTAAAAGCACCATGAAATTGTGAACCTGCACATACTTTGAGGCATTCGTCACTTGCTATCGATTACATCGCTGGGCCTCCTATACAGCAGTGTGTTAGTTGCTCAGATCTGCAGTAAATGTCAAACATATATTGGTGCATATATCATATAGCAATTTGTTATATCATAGACTTCTTCTTCATAGTCTTTAACATTGAATGTGAGGTGTTTGTGAGTTCTCTGCTGTGTATCTACAAGCATTCCCTCCTACAGTCTTCAGACTATTCTCATGTGAGTTCTTTGTTAGTTTTCTGCTATCTACACCCAGGCATTTCTACAGTCTTCAGACTATTCTAATGTGATATCTACAAGCATACACTCCTAGAGCCCTTAAGACATTCTAATGTGAGTCTTCAGACTATTCTCATGTGAGTTCTTTGTTAGTTTTCTGCTATCTACACCCAGGCATTTCTACAGTCTTCAGACTATTCTAATGTGATATCTACAAGCATACACTCCTTGAGTCTTAAAGACATTCTAATTTGAGTTCTTTGTTAGTTTTCTACTATCTACAAACATACACTCCTAGAGCCTTAAAGACATTCTAATTTGAGTTCTTTGTTAGTTTTCTACTATCTACAAACATACACTCCTAGAGCCTTTAAGACATTCTAATTTGAGTTCTTTGTTAGTTTTCTACTTTCTACAAGCATGCACTCCTAGAGACATTCTAATTTGAGTTCTTTGTGAGATTTCTACTTTCTACAAGCATGCACTCCTAGAGTCTTTAAGACATTCTAATTTGAGTTCTTTGTTAGTTTTCTACTATCTACAAACATACACTCCTAGAGCCTTAAAGACATTCTAATTTGAGTTCTTTGTTAGTTTTCTACTATCTACAAACATACACTCCTAGAGCCTTTAAGACATTCTAATTTGAGTTCTTTGTTAGTTTTCTACTATCTACAAACATACACTCCTAGAGCCTTAAAGACATTCTAATTTGAGTTCTTTGTTAGTTTTCTACTATCTACAAACATACACTCCTAGAGCCTTAAAGACATTCTAATTTGAGTTCTTTGTTAGTTTTCTACTATCTACAAACATACACTCCTAGAGCCCTTAAGACATTCTAATGTGAGTTCTTTGTGAGATTTCTACTTTCTACAAGCATGCACTCCTAGAGACATTCTAATTTGAGTTCTTTGTGAGATTTCTACTTTCTACAAGCATGCACTCCTAGAGTCTTTAAGACATTCTAATTTGAGTTCTTTGTTAGTTTTCTACTATCTACAAACATACACTCCTAGAGCCTTAAAGACATTCTAATTTGAGTTCTTTGTTAGTTTTCTACTATCTACAAACATACACTCCTAGAGCCTTTAAGACATTTTAATTTGAGTTCTTTGTTAGTTTTCTACTATCTACAAACATACACTCCTAGAGCGTTTAAGACATTCTAATGTGAGTTCTTTGTTAGTTTTCTACTATCTACAAACATACACTCCTAGAGCCTTAAAGACATTCTAATTTGAGTTCTTTGTTAGTTTTCTACTATCTACAAACATACACTCCTAGAGCCTTTAAGACATTCTAATTTGAGTTCTTTGTGAGATTTCTACTATCTACAAACATACACTCCTAGAGCCTTTAAGACATTCTAATTTGAGTTCTTTGTTAGTTTTCTACTATCTACAAACATACACTCCTAGAGCCTTTAAGACATTCTAATTTGAGTTCTTTGTGGGTTTTCTATTATCTCCAGGCACACCCTCCTACAGGCTTCACACTATTCTAATGCGAGCTCTTTGCTACTTTTTCAACTCATTTGCCATAGCCAATTCGATAACAACAAATGTGTAGGTTAATTGAATTTGGGGTAACATACCTCCTTAAGCACGAAGTTCCTGCCTAAATGACCACGTGTGACAACACCTTACTTGTTACTGACGGCAAGCAACTAGATTATGATTGTAATTAAGAGAGGGAGCTCTGACCTTCAGAAGGTCTTGAGAACACTCGGTGAAAATCAGTCACACTAAACTGCGGTGAAACGTTATATACTTGTTCATGCTTGGCTAAACCTTATTAATTAAGAACCTTCAAATCATATTACTCACAACAAACACAATAATAACAATGATGATGATGATGATGATAATGATCGTCATCATCATCATCATCATGCATGTCACAACCATATCGATCATACACAAAACAATCATATCTTACAGTCCCTTTATTGGTACAGCAATGAGAAAGGATCTATACACTGAATTACACACCACACTTTGTTTACCCGGAATTCGAACACCGCCGTGTTAAATAGTATAAAGTGTTTACGAACGCTACAATAATATTTGTGTAATCGTCCCACCACCCTACACACAACGAAAGTTTTGTGTGATACAAATGATTTGCAATAGTGGGTGAAGATTGTTTTTTGCGCATCAGCGGTTCTGCTGCTAAGGATGTTATTGTTACATTTCGGGCTCAGCTTCTCTCCAATACGGCAACACAATAGCTTCCTTTATACTGTCTATTTCCCCGCTGGTTGATTATTAACTGATGAGCCAGAATGATTGATGCCATTCGTGTGAACACGTGCACGGATGATGTTGTCGACAATGAAGGCCACGACGTCCCAACACACGGCCATTGTCAATATATTAGTTAAGGGTCATGACTCAATGTTATTGAGTTTGGGAATCGGTCCAGCTGTGGAGTTGCCCAGTATAGGTACGAAGCCTAAACTTGTAACGCGATAACACACAAACCGAAAATCAATAGAAGAGGGGGTACCGCTAGCAATATTGTATCTGGAGTATTACTATTTGATAGTGATTCACAAACACATGTTCATGATAGAGTCGGAATCGTATCATCGACTCTGCTTTTAGCAGAGGTTTCTTATGAATGATACTAATAGCATTGAAGATGTTGGTTGGTCGGTTGTTTAACGCCGCACTCAGCAATATTCCAGCTATATGACGGCGATCTGTTAATAATCGAGTCTGGACCAGACAATCCAGTGATTGATATCATGAGCATCGATCCACACAATTGGGATCCATGACATGCATCAATCACGTCAAATCCTGACCATCCGATCCCGTTAGTCGCCTTTTACGACAAGCATAGTCGCCCTTTACGGCAAGCATGTATTGCTGAAGGCCTATTCTACCCCGGATCTTCTCGAGTCCATTGAAGATGTAGCCCTCTTCACATTTGATTGCGAGGCATATGTATTGTTGAGAAATAAGTACATACCGAAGTGGCATATTTCATCAAACATTGTAAATTTCATAACTTACTGACTTCTAATGATGTGTCAGTCCTTAACAAAGGTGCTAAGTTCGTTAAAGAAGCTCTGAAATGTAAATCTGCACTTGACAGTAAGTATATTGTGTCATCTACCGCCTAATTGCCATATATATTCAGCTTATGTATATGGACAGGGTTTTGTCGCTTTTATTTATAATGTTTGAGTGATTATGAGCCCCAGTGAGAAACATTGTATCTGGGACTCGTATGATTGTTTTATAATGTTCGGGTGATTATGATGGAGCTCTAGCCAAGAACATTGTATCTGAGAATCGTATGATTGTTTTATAATGTTCGGGTGATTATGATGGAGCTCCAGCCAAGAACATTGTATCTGAGAATCGTATGATTGTTTTATAATGTTCGGGTGATTATGATGGAGCTCCAGCCAAGAACATTGTATCTGAGAATCGTATGATTGTTTTATAATGTTCGGGTGATTATGATGGAGCTCCAGCCAAGAACATTGTATCTGAGAATCGTATGATTGTTTTATAATGTTCGGGTGATTATGATGGAGCTCCAGCCAAGAACATTGTATCTGAGAATCGTATGTGTTAAATAGTGTTCGGGTTCACCCAGAAATAACGGGTACCCGGTAGAATGAGATTGTTATGTGCAAGCACACACACACACACACACACGTGTATATAAGTGCAAGCCCAATTTTACCCAACTCATCTGTGAAAGAGGTGAGGTGAAATGGGGTTTAACGTCGCGTCCAAGATTATTGCACTTATGCGCGTGTATGTGTGTGTATGTGTGTGTGTGTGTGTGTGTGTGTGTGTGTGTGTGTGTGTGTGTGTGTGTGTGTGTGTGTGTGTGTGTGTGTGTGTGTGTGTGTGTGTGTGTGTGTGTGTGTGTGTGTGTGGCTGCTTGTACTTAATCCGGACTGATGCCGATTTATAGTGATAGCACACTGAGATACCATGCCGCAGTTTAACATGAATACCCCACTCAGACACAGTATACTGACTCCGAACCGACCAGTCCTTGTTTTAGCCCCTTAATGCCGAGCGCCAGACAGGGTAACAACAAGTACCATCTTTTAACGTCTTTTGGTATGACGCGGCTGTGCATCGAACCCCGGACCTTCCGCTCTCCGGGCAGACGCTCTACCATTAGACCACGGAGGCGGTCATCTGTGGAAGAACAGTTCTATTTCAGTCACTACGACTTGTATTGTTATAGTGGAAACCGTTTCAATACTTTTATTTCAAACTTTAATTATCTAAAATACCAATTGTATCAATATGTTCGCAAGTTCACCAAAATTCTATCCCCTTTGTATGTTTAAAATTCAGCAAACATTCGGCGTATCCCCTATAACCATAAGCCCCCTACGGGCAGGACCCTTAATCCCCAGCGCTATCTAAAGACATCAATTAACACGTCGCCGGATCTAACGTATGTTCATGTACGTGGGTCACTGACTTTGTAGATGGTAGATGTAATACCTCTATATACAAAACCTGACTGACATGGTCAATCAGAGAGACGGGCCCACATCATCGACAGAAGCGGACGGATTGTACGGTTAGTCGTGGCGACGGCCATGGCCGTCCCCTCACAAACGACCACGTCGACGACGAAGAAGACTT